ATTAATGAATTGGCAACACCTGGGAAAAGAGGCGAGAGCAATTAGAAAAACAAATAACACTCCAACCACGATTTGTGTGTGTAACACAAATCACATTAATTCTCATTAATAATGTGTTTCTGTATCAGCAATTAGCGGGCTTTAGGTGCTTTCAAATTTCTACCGCTTCTTCCACTTAACAGCATCTCCGTGGTTTGTAGTAAACAAACAGATAAGAAAAAAATACTATCAGCGAATTACGCGTAATAAAAACAAAAAAAGTCACCAGGCATTTCTTTGCATCTATCTGTTAAGTCAAGGCAAATGATCAAGCAGGGAGTGAATTATCAGATGTTAATTACATTAATACACTAAAATGCTTCTGACAGCTCGGACATTGAAGCGTTAAGGTAATGCCCTGGCTAATCTCATGCTATTTATGTTTTTAAGTCACAGGCAATTTCATTTCTTCATTAGGTAATAATAGAGAACACCTAATTTTTCTGCACACGTGTAGTTTTAAAAGCTGTGATTGGTTCCCTTCTTCCGGAATAAAGCAAGTCGGCTGAGCGTGGACCTAAATCTTCTGTTTTCGGGTGGTTAAAGACTCGATTAATAGAATGGACGGTGGTTTTGAAGACCAAGAGCTGCGTGAAGCGCAGAGAGAGTACTTGGATTTTCTCGATGATGATGTAGGCGAATACGTTTTTTACATCCGTTGGATCCATAGGTGTTTGTGTTTTGAGTTGTTACCCTAGGTCTGCGATGATTACGCTTTCCACCGTGTTTGCCACATAAAACGTACCAACGCTGCATATTTAACATGTACGTTTCTAATGCAAAAAGCAAGAACTCGCAGTGTTATGTCTGTTGGGCTATTTGGTCTTGGGATGTGAACAGCTTGTTTGAATAAGCGTAGATGCTGCTACACATCATATATTACAGCTGCTGAAGAAGTTTACTGCCTGTCGCGTCTGTGAAAAGTCTTTCTGCGTGTGACGCGAAAAGCTCATTAGTTGGATGAGTAAGAGCGTAATTACAGCTCTAGGTAGAAATAAATGGCCTTTCATCTCCTTGCCTTACCTCGCTAATTGAATTCTAGTTGTACAAGGCGTTCAGCATTTCTCAGAAGGCAAGAGAAACCTTTTTTTAAAAAAAACACCCTACTTCGCTGTTAGCAAGCGAAACGTTAAAGTTGCGTTGGAGCTGCGAAGCGTTCGACTAAATAATGTTCCGGTTTCTTTTGCGAGATTGAGAAATTTATAATCCGTCCTCTTTTTTACCCCCCTACAGCAAGATCAAGGTGTTTATCATGGGAAAGTAAGAGCAATGGTCTCAGAAAATCGCTGTCGTTTAATTGTCAATATTAACGATCTCCGAAGAAGAAATGAGAAGAGAGCCAACTTGTAAGTATTCTTAACTAGAGGACTAGAAACTGAAGCGAGGTGCTGTAGGACCGTTAGCGTCCGAACTATTTTAATATGAAAGGTGAACGAGGGGCTTAGTTCTTCACCCCGTGGAAGTAGCAGTGTACCTGGTGATTGTTCACAGGACTCCCTCCAGGAAAAGGAAAAGTGTCTTCATCGCCCGTTTGGTTACAAACAGATTTGCTCATGGTAGCCTGTTCACCTTTGTTCATCACAGCAAAACCAGAGTGAGAGCAACGGTCAAATCGCAAACCAGAAGTTCTATACAGTTAATATTCTCACAAAAAAGGAAGAACAACTTCACGGCTAATTGTATTTGTTGCTTAAAGTTTAGGAGTCGGCTCCCCTTGCGCGGAAAACGTCGCTGAATCCTTGAGATGGCAAATTGAAAGTAATATGAGCCCTTAAGTCTGATTCTCTGTTAGGTTTTATTTTTTTCTCCATGTAATACATAGAAACGTGTATTACACGTTTCCCGATTTGTATCAAAATTACCTTGGTAAATTTTAGTGTTCGTATTAATTGTGTGAATTAATGTTGGATGGCGGTCTGAAACTCTGAGGTTTTTAATAGATGTTTTTGAATTTGTCTCCTGAAAGACTTTCAGCATTCTTTGACCTTTTTTTTTTATATTCAAGTGCAATTTCTTTCTTAAGATTTGTAAACGCTCGTGATTTTATGAGTAGTAAAATTTGGACTTTGGGGAAACCACCTTTAACGGGACTTGCGTTTCATATCGAATGAAATATTGTATGACAACTAAATTGTGTACGGCATATTATGCCAATACAAATCGATATTCTTCTTTTTGGTAATTTTTCCTGATTTTTAAAAAAAATTATCTTGCCAACTCGCCATCACAACTCGGCAAACCCTTCTTGAACCCTCCAGCAGCCCCACCTCTGGGTGTCAGCCCCATGGCAGGCTCTGTATCAGGGCCAAGAAGCCAATGGCTACTTCAGTGTTCCTTGAAGATCGCACGTGCTAAATGCATAAGTACATGATGTGGGCAGGCAGCCAGTGCTGCCTCGAGGTGGTGTTTTTAACGTCTGCCAAAAAGGAGCTGCAGTCCCAATTTCTCAGCCTGGTTATTAAATCTCAGAAACAAAATTTAGTTAATTCAATGTATCTTGAAATTTGATAAATTCAGAATTAAGTATATAATTGTGAGCTTTGTAGAGTACTGCACGTTGCCATGTTGTCACAAACCTGGTCTCTCCACGGGCGAGAGTGAGAGTTTGCACAAATTCTGACGTGATGTGGCCTTTCCTGCTCACTAGTCCCCTTTAATGACTAATGTAATGCGATGTACAAGAGAATAAGTACAGGTTGTGCAGCAGACATATTTTCCTGCGGAAATGTTCCAACAAGCGGATCTTGTTGGAACAAGTAGTATTTTGTTGGAAAAACGGTCTAAAAGTCGGGGGCAATATTTCTGTCGCATTGGAAGAGATGTCTTCTCAAGCCTGCTTTACCTTATCAGAAACTGAGTAGTCTTGTTCTGAATCGCAGAATATGGAGCTGCACATACCTGGAAATTCAGTCTATTTTGTGATGTGCATAGTATTGTGCAATTTACGTTTTGCACAATATGTACATTTTACTGCTCACTCTGGTTTTAAATACAAACATCAATGCTGATAAATTTCAGGCTCAGAAAGTTAAAAAAAAACATTGCAGTTTCCCCTAAAGTTAAGCCCCACAACTGCTAAACTGCGTGCCATATGGGGAATCGTGAAGCTTTTCTGACTTAAACCACTTCACGGTCCAGAATGGCTGATTAGGTGTAGGTCTTCTCTGAGAGAGATGAGATTCCACTTATCAATTTACTGATCAATTTGATCCTGATAAATCAGGCTCCGAGGGACTGGGAAGAATGAATCAACATGTGGGAAATGGGACAAAAGCCCAAACCTTCAGCTTTTCGAACACATGCTCACATCTTTTGACCCATCATGGGTCACCGTAACTTCTTACTAACCTAAATAAGAAGACCCAGTCTTGCCTACATGGAGTTTGGAGCACATTCAGTTTTTAAGTAACTGGAAACGACTGAATATTAGGTTTGAAACAATGTAGTAGGGGTCTTCATGCTAAGCTCTTTAGATCATTTTCATTCTGAAATAGACTAAGCTTTTCAACGGGACCTGCCAGTTCCCTTTTGCCATTATTCACCTGATGTTAATTTTGTTCCCGTTTTACACACTTTCCTTCATTCCTGCCTCATGAGACAGTACATCTACTGAGTGGACAACAAGAAAAACTCCCCGACAGCCCCCCTGCTATTGATGTTCAGCATCTTGGACTGTCGAATAATGAAAAGCATGTTTATGCGTTATATTTAGTTTGGAATAATCTTTCAATCTTTTTAACCTTTCTGGACAGGCACAATGGCAAATCAGGCCATGCTTGATTCTTTTGGTGTATGCCAAAACTGTTGGTGATCTGAAAATGTTGTCGCTCAGGACCGACTCGTGAAAATGTTAGAAATTTATGCCGTGGATCAATAGTTTTCATTTGTTTTCCAGGTTGGTTAATGATGCGTTTAAGGAGCTCATTGCTTTTCAAAGAGCCTTAAAAGATTTTGTGGCCTCCGTTGATGGGACCTATGCCAAGCAGTTTGAAGAGTTCTTTGTGGGCCTGGAAGGAAGTTTCGGAGGGAAGCACGTCTCCCCACGCACGCTGACTGCACGTTTACTTGGCAACATGGTCTGTGTCGAAGGAATCGTCACCAAGTGTAAGATTGTTTTTCATTGTTCAATTTGTTAATCACTAGACCTCTTAGCTACACAAAGAGGATGTCGTTTTGAGATGAAGGGTGCTATCCAAATACCAAAAACAATCACACCAGAGTTGACTCACTTATGCTTGTACGTCTACCCTAATAGACATTTTAAGTTTGTAGAAAATGTGGAATTAGAGACATATTTCTGTAGCTCTTTCCCCCTCCCCACCAAAAAAGTTGTCAGACCACCATAGTTGTCTGATAATGATATCATATCATTATCATAGTTGTTAATAATCTAGTGTTTTGCTCCAGCAGTTGTGGCATGACACAATTGCTCTTTCTGACCTTTTCTTAAAAGGCTCACTGGTGAGGCCCAAGGTGACCCGTAGTGTACACTACTGTCCCGCTACTAAGAAAACGCTTGAAAGGAGGTACACTGACCTCACCTCTTTAGATGCTTTTCCTTCAAGTGCAATCTACCCAACTAAGGTATGCTTTTTTCAGTCTGCCAACTGCTGCAAAACCTGGTTCATCATCAAATCGGATATTCTGTGACTTTGCGTCACAGTTAGTTTCAGCTGGAAGAAGAGCCTCTGGTGGACTGGCATCCCATTCGGGGTGTATGTTCTCTTGCGCCTATTGCTTGTTGGGATAGGCTATGGCTCTCCTGCGCTCCTGAATTAAATGAAGAGGTTAGAAGTAGGATGAATGGAAGAATAGTAGCAGGATGAGTTTTGCTGGGGTAGTTAATTCATAGCTCTCTTTCAGGGCAACACATTTCTACAGATAGTGTTAAGGGCATGCAAACGTTTAAGAATAAAGGAGGAATGTCATATTTCAGTACTACAACCTAAAACGGCATGTCAATTTTTCGTTTGTGAGTGCTGGTTTATGCATGCCTGGGAGGTCCAGGCAGACAGACTCAGAACTCCTGGAATATCGTTCTCCAGGATGAAGAGAATAATCCTTTAGAGACTGAATTTGGGCTCAGTACTTACAAGGACCATCAGACGCTGACTATCCAAGAGATGCCCGAAAAGGCACCTGCAGGCCAGTTGCCTCGCTCGATTGACATAATCACCGACGATGATCTGGTTGACAAAGTCAAGCCTGGAGACAGAGTGCAGCTGGTAGGAGTCTATCGTTGTCTCCCAGCCAAGCATGGAGGCTACACTTCAGGCACGTTCAGGTAACATGAAATGTGAACTTGCCCAGTGGGCTCTTGATAGCGGCCTTTTTTAAAACCGCTAGCATATCTTAGTAGGTTATTGTTGTCAGCTGTTTGCATACACCGAAATTCATGTTGCAGTACCTTTTTCCACCCTTTTCCTCTATCTTTTAGGCCTAAGTGTTGAGTTTTTCCTTTACTGTTAAATAAGCCCTTTTTTAATTCTCCCCTTCTGAATAGGACAACCCTGCTTGCCAACAATATAAAGCTTCTGAGCAAGGAAATGGCTCCTACGTTTTCTGCTGATGATGTGGGCAAGATAAAGAAGTTCAGTAGAACCCATTCCAAAGTATGTATACTTCCAAAAAGTCAAAAAAAATCTTTATCCAATTTCAGTGTTAACCATCTCTCATGTTATTTTTGTGGAAATGTATTTTTTTTTCCCCATTCAGTAAATAGCTCATTCAAGCCACTTTTAGTCTTTTAAAGGAGTATAATTGAAGGGCTGCCTGGATCAAACTGTGCTATGCTCTTGTACCAGGTTCCTTAGTATCCTTTAAGATGTGGCTGTAGGCTGATTTGTGGATTTGTATACAGCAGCCCGATGAGTGAGAGGTCATTTGGCCGTTCTACATCTGGAAACTTTGTTCTTGAAATATTGGCTTGACCATATTGATACCTGTTAAAGTGTTTGTGTTGAGGTTTGCAGGACCCTTGGACGAATGCAAAATTCAGTGGAATTGATCCCACATGTATGTGCAGTTCTCCCTCATCATGCAATGGAGACAAGTAATTACATGGCTGTTGTATTAATCATTCTTGCAGTTCAGTTAAACATGGAGTTTCTAGGAGGAGGTAGAACAAGCATTTTGCTTGGGTAGTTGACCAAGACCTTTTACATATAAGAAGCATATTAATTGCTTTTTTTCTTAACCTTAACCAGGATGTCTTTGAACATTTGAGCAAGTCGCTGGCACCTAGTATCCATGGCCATGAGTATATTAAAAAAGCAATTCTGTGTCTGTTGCTTGGAGGAAATGAGAAGATTTTGGAAAATGGGACGCGTATAAGAGGCGATATCAATATCTTACTTATAGGTAAGATTTTGTTTCTGCATGCCGATTTAAAAGGCTTCTCTTCACAATCTTGACTTGAGTGAAATGTGCGTTTTCTCCTTAACAATATAAACCAACATATGATAGTAAGCATAACACCTTAAGGAGCCTAGCTGTAATCAAAGGGAAACTTTTTTTTTTTAAATTCAAAACCCATAAAGGTCCAGTGTTTTATGGTGACATGATGCAGATCCTAAAACGTGGCTCGACTCGGGAAGAGCCGTTGTTGGGCCTGAAGCAAGCTTTAGGGAAAATCCGAATGATGGAAATCTGATGTTGATCTGTTTACTACAACCACTTGCATGAGTAACTTCTCCCGTTGGAAGTATTTTTAAGGAGTTAAATATTTTTTGGTGGTACAAATGTCTCGGCACCGGTTTTCAGTCGAGCACTGTGGACTTTCAATCCTCCTTTCATCTGCATGAACCGCTTTCTGCTGAATCTGCTTCCTTCAGGCGACCCTTCTGTGGCGAAGTCCCAGCTGCTGCGCTATGTGCTCTTCACGGCTCCGCGGGCCATTCCCACCACTGGAAGGGGGTCGTCAGGGGTGGGCTTGACCGCAGCCGTCACCACGGATCAGGAGACCGGTGAGCTGACCTGAACCCGCCTGGTGCTAGCGCCGGTGCCTGTTGGTTCCATCGCGTGTCGTGAACCCTTCCTCGCCTCGCCGCAGGGGAGCGCAGGCTGGAGGCCGGGGCCATGGTGCTGGCGGACCGAGGCGTCGTCTGCATCGACGAGTTTGACAAGATGTCGGACATGGACCGGACCGCCATCCATGAGGTGATGGAGCAGGGCCGCGTCACGATCGCCAAGGCGGGGATCCAGGCCCGGCTGAACGCTCGCTGCAGCGTGCTGGCCGCAGCCAACCCGGTTTACGGGAGGGTGAGTTAGAGCTACGTCGGGGAAACGAGTGGCGCGAGGAGCAGCAGCAGCTACAGGTACGGGAGGGAAGCTTTGTGGGGAAATGTAGCTCTCGTCGTCACGTTTCTAAAGCACAGTTGCAATGCTTCTCTCTGCCTGCAGCTGCGTAATCAAAGTGGTTAGATCATGGCACTCTTTGTAAGCAGTGTGGTGAGTAATATGCAGCCTTTTGAACCCCAGTTTGTAACAGTCTACAGTAAGCCCCCTCCCGACGTGGTTTCACCAGAACACGTCACAAAAAAAGCAACCAAAATTTCCCCAAGCATTGAAAGTGTCACGACAAGGCAGAAATTGCGCTGGAGCTCTGCTGAGTTGTATTTCTCATTATATCTCATATCGGTTCTGTTCTGGGCAGCACTGTGATATTCCCAGCATCCCAGTCCACTGTTGCTCTTTTCCCCCTTCTCACTGTTCTCACTGGTTCTATTCATCATTCTATTAATCCATTCATTCAGAAAAACAAACCAGTTTTTCTGGTTTATTCTGGGTTGTCCCTGCATTACAACTGCACAACATGGTGTCACCGAGTCATGAGGTTGAAAGTGAGTGGAATGGAGATAATTCCAGCTTAGCCGAGTTAACTGCAGCATTGTTCAAAGTGAGTGAACAGATGGAGTGAGTGTGAAAAAACACCAAGGTTGCTTTCTTTGGAACCTTATGAAAACTTAAAATAGGATCTTCTGTACATGCTATTGCACACTAAGTTATTGAATTATTAAAATAACCCTCTATAAACAGTGTAAAAAATATCTGGTGATAAGTGGGGATGTTGTGCAATCTATTTATTGACAACCAATTTTCCCATAAGCTGTTGTGTTTCTCCAGTGTACAGAGATGGAGGAACATACTGTATAACCCCTGTGTCAGAAGATGGCCTCAATGTATTCCAATTAGGGACAACTTGCTAAAAGGTTTGAAATCCTTGCAGCACTGATAAGTTTTGAAATGAGGATTTATGTATGAAACTGCAGGTATTCACATTAGGCCAATGAAAGAAAATGTCCACCTGCAAAATGTATTTTTCCAAATGGTCATTGATTTTTATTTTTTTGCCTCTAACCTCCGGAGATGGGTATAAAATGTATCAAATAAAATTGGAGGTCTTAAACTTGTTTTGGGTTGCTCTGCAATGATCTTAGTTCCTCCAGATCGTTCTTCTCTATCCTGAGAACTGACTCTACATGTCCATCTGTGCAACAGTGGCGTGGTCGGCCAGCTGACATTTACAGCTGAACACTGCTCTGCAGTTAACACAGCTTTGACGGTACTCCCACAGTGCTGACAATTCTGCCTGCTAGACAGTTGTGGCACCAAAAGCAGAAGATTAATCAAGCAGGTTTGATGCTTCAGCTTGTGTCTTCCATGATATATCATCCACCCATTGCACATCAACTGATCCAACAGGTTGGTGCTTGACACTGTACAGTATGTTAATGGTAAATTACAGTGGTTGGAACAGAATTGTATAGCCTCTAATTGGGAACAAAGGTACAGCCTTGCTTCAGCAGCAGTTTTGTTAGCCTTACGATCTGTTGTACTGCCTTCCTAAGATGGGTTCTTCTCTTTTCTTTGGAAAGAGAGGTTTGGTAAGACATTGGATGGTTGTCTTGCCTGAAATTGCCAAAAATGAATATGATTAAAGGTTGTCTGGGCACCACACAAGACAGCAGAGAGCATTATTCCAATCTGTGCAATATCAGCAGATGTTAATTTCATTGTTGGAAAAATGACCCAACTTTTATGCTTGAGTTCTCATTTGACCAGCCCCCCATGTCTTCCTGGTAGGCTATTTCTCACCATGAAACTCCCAGTTAAAGATCTTTGCTAGAAGGACATCTGGCACTGCTGGCAATGATCATTAGCTTCCATAACAGTGAAAATATCTCTTGCCTTTACAGTATGATCAATATAGAACCCCAATGGAGAATATTGGACTGCAGGACTCTCTGCTGTCAAGATTTGATCTGTTGTTCATAGTCTTGGACCACATGGACCCCGACAGTGACAGAGAGATCTCTGAGCATGTTCTTCGTATGCACAGATACAGAGCTCCCGGAGAGCAAGACGGCACTGGTAAGAGAGGACGTTCTTCATTCGTAAAGCATGTATTCAACTGAGTTTTCCAGTGTAAGTGTTTTTGTAAGGCTTTAACTTTCATATCTCCAGTTCAATCCCTGATTTAATTGAACTCGCATTCCAAGCAAATTGGGGAAAAATTAACCTCAAAGTTCGTATTATGCCGTGATAAATTTATACTGTACAACACTCCATTTTTTTTTCATAGCTTTCAATTCCAGTTCAAGGATAACTTAGCATAGAAATACAGGTCTGCATTCAGTATTTTCTTCTGTTTTAATACACTTTGGTGTTGCGTTCTGGAGGGTAAAGAAACCTTAAGACCTACAGCAGCTCTGTCTGGTCTCTAACTTCAGTGCGGCTAAGCTTTCAAACCGTTCCTTAATAGTGGCTATTAATACAACTTCCAGAGACTTCTATGAAACTTTTCCAAAGGCTTTGTGAAACTCCTGGATGACCTGGAGCATTAGAGGATAGAATATACATCTTTTGTTTTAAGCTTTCTTACAGGATATAAACTTGAATATTATGCTGTTGTTATTCAGCACTCCTTTCATGAATTGCAAAACATTGATGTACACCTGCATTTTTGATAATTTTTTAGCTTTTAGTTTAGCTGAATAAATGCTCAAGATACACGTGCATATCTCTGATTGGCACTGGCTCTGAATCTGGATGGCTGTTAACACTTGGTCACCCAAAATTAGTGCAAACATCGTCTGAGGGATCTTAAAATGTATTTGGTTATTGATTTAAGTTATCTCTTCCCCCCCCTTATTTCAGCTCTGCCACTGGGTTGCACAATAGATCTGTTTGCCACAGAGGATCCAAATATTACCGAAGCAGCTGACCGAGAACTTCAGATATATGAAAAGCGGGACAACCTTTTACACGGACATCGAAAGAAAAAGTATGTTCTTAATTTGACATGAAAATGAAAATCTAGCCTAAATGATGTTGGCACAGAGTAACCTTTTTCCAATTCAGGACATTTTTAGCGGTCTTGGTTTTAGCTTTTGCAGTTTTATGTCTAGTCCATTCAATATGGAGTTATTCTTTTTTTAATACTGCACAAAACTGTCTGTTACTCTGTATTGAAATTGGGTTTTAAACCAATGCGCACCCGAGGCAGTCAGACTGTTATTCTGGCTTGGCAGAGAGAAGATAGTCAGCATGGAGTTCATTAAGAAGTACGTACATGTTGCCAAGCTGATGAAGCCCCTGCTGACCCAGGAGGCTGCGGACTTCATCTCTGAAGAGTACTCCAGGCTGAGGAGTCATGATCACCTGAACTCCGACTCCGCTCGGGTAAATAGTCACCCACAGTGGGAGAGTCTCTCGCCTCCGCACCGCTGAGAAAGCAGTCGGTAGGTTTGTGATGGACGCTGTTTCTCCGGCATGCTCAGACGATGCCAATCACGGCCAGAGCTCTGGAGACCATGATCCGATTGGCCACGGCCCACGCGAAAGCCAGGATGAGCAAAGCCGTTGAACTTCAGGACTCTCAGGCGGCTCTGGAGCTCATTCAGTTTGCTTACTTTAAAAAGGTATGCGTTTTGTTTTGTGCGACTGAAGTCGAGCACCCCTCCCTCCCTCCCCACCTCTTTATTCTTACAAATCTCAACTTTCGGTTTTCTCAGATTTTGGACAAAGAAAAAAAGAAAAAGGTGGACATGGACAGCATGAATGGCGACATCCCTCAAAGTCAAGAGGATTCAAGCCAGAGAAGCATGAGGTAAATCGACAGTTTTTAGAGTCTTCCCATGACACAGCTCTGGGAGATCTGTGATAATGTATCCCCTCCCTCCATTCACAGAAAGAGTTCTAGGCTCATGTCCAAGGATCTGGATTCGACTGAAGCCGAGGACATGGATTGCTATGACTTCAGCCTTGATGAACAGCATGCAGATGTGCAGCGTGAGTTTTCATAAGGCTTTTTACAGCTTGGGACGTAGATGCAGCAAATGGGTTTTGATGCCCAGGCTGAAGGGAAAGATTTTAAAAACATTTTCTGAAATGTCAGTACGATCATATTAAACCCCAGTCGAGCTGAATTTAGTGCCTGCTGTTTTTGTATTGCTGGTATAGTGGGTTCTGGACAAAGGCACAGACGTGCAGAGGACAGAGGAACACCAAAGAAAAAGACTGAAGTCCACAAAGACAGGTAGAACCCCAAGTGTGATTTTTTTTGTTGCTTTTGTTTCAAGAGCTTGTGGTTGTCTGAAATAATGTATTTATTATATGAAAATACTTCCATCTGATATTCAGGAGATTAATGACTATGGAGTTAAGATTAAATTGCATAAATGAAGCTTTAATATTACACCTCCATTATTGTAAGTGATCTTTAACAAACCTACTAAACCTTGATTTATAGAACCCAGTTTAAAGCCTCAATATAATTTCAATTGTCAAAGTTAGTATTAAAAGTTGTGCAAATGTTAATCCTGTTCTTGGACCCTTACCCAAAGAGCCTCTAGCACAAAACATTCTACACACAACCTGTTTTTTTTTCCCATTCGAACCTTTTGTGCATGGTTCTTTTTTCCAAAAAAGGATATTTTCCATCGAAATTCTGCGTTTCCAAAATCAAAGGCAGCCTGCCTGACATTTTGTTCCTGTATTCTCAAATTTAGTGCATTGAATTAAAATCTGACACAAGCCTCTCTGTCAGAGATGTGCTTTTCACTCGGCTATTGAAGTTAACCAGGGCTGTTGCACTAATTTTCTTGGTTTTCTTCAAACCAGGCTGAAACTGTTCAAGGCGGCGTTGCTGAAAGCTTTCAAAGCGACCCGCTCTCAGTCCATCTCGATTCCAGAGGTCATCGCAAACATCAATAAAGGCAATAATGACCCGTTTGAGCCCGACGAAGTCAAACAGCTTCTCGGTCAAATGCAAGATGACAATCAGGTTATGGTGTCAGAAGATGTTGTTTTCCTGATATAGTCCAGCTGACCGATGACATGTTTAATTGAGAGGTTGTGTGTGCGCACTTTTGTAATTTCACTTTTGTAAATCTCTGTACAGCTGTATATAAATGTTTGTTTTTCGTAAGGTGCCAGTGTCTGCAATTGGGTCCACCCAAGTGTGTTGAAGTTTCACTCAAGGATAAATCTTAAAAGTACAGCCATCATTCTTGCGCTGTAAGCTAGTAAACTTAAATTTTAAGGTCTATATATTTAGAGTATTGAGTCATTTACTCTTCCTAATGCTTTTTAGAAGGAATAAAATATGAAAGTTAAAATGCTGTAAGTCACTGTGCATATAGGTTGTTCAATAAAAAACGCTCTTTATGAACTAATCTAAAATTTATGGCTAATGTGGGTATTTTAGCTTTCATTAAAAATCAAAATCAGTCATTTCTGGAAAAAGCTTGGTAAATGTTTCCATATCTGGTAAAGCACGTGGAGCTTTATTACACTAATTAGAGGTATAAATGGGGAATATTTTAAGGACTACTGGGTTCCAATTAAACTAAAATCCTAAAGCCAACCTCTCCAGATCCTCCTGTGTCCTGTACATTGGTGCGAAGTGCAATTTTTAATGATTGAAGAAATGTGGAACTGCCTGGAGTTGCACATTCAATGTGCATACAGTGGTTTCTGTATCTTCTCTAATGACTGTCACCGTCCTTTCCTTGAGAAAACACCCCTTTCTCCCCCTGTGCTGACTACACTAACATTACTTCTAGTATGTAATGTAGAAAACCAGTTAATTCAGGTTTTCCTATACTATATTCTAGCATCGCATAGGAATTATTATAACATTAATAATGAACAAGGAAATGGTGTTTCAGGTATTTAAAAAAAAAACTTTGGTATTTGCTCATCCTTTGGTGGTCCCTATACTCTGTGCTTTTTCAGTTGACATACAGTATTACTGCACTCTGTGCCACACAGAGTGGTCTCTTTGATGCTCATTACTGAGAGGTGTATCTGTATACTTCTGCAACTAGCACCGATGAAGGCATCAAATCTGTTAGAAATTTTATAAGCTACAGCTTATAAAATTCCTAAAAAAAATTTCTAGCTTAATCATCACCCGATGATGGTTATTAAGATGCAAGACTATGATACAATGCAGAAATGCAGTTTACTGGATTATACAATAGTTGGCTTAAAATTCCTGTTAAAAAGTGCCTCTGGGTGACTCCAAAAACCTCTTTTGAAACACCCAGTCTACTATTTAATAGCTCTTAACCTGTTGGCATCTTAAAATGTGTTGGACTAAAATGAAAGGTGTGTGTGTGTGCTTCAAATGCAAGAAGATTATTTTGGCCTGAAATTCAGAATCTCCAAACTTCTGAATGAAATTCTAAAATTTTGGGCACGTAAAACTCAAGGTCACTTTTTTAAAAAGAAATTCAGCTGTTTGGGAGATGAAAAGGTGATAGACTGCTCCTTTTTCTTCTTCTGGTCATCTTCAATGGGCAGTTCTCTGGGGAAAAAAAAAGACAAGATGAAGTGGACACTGTCACTCGAATCTGCCAGTTTTCAACACGCTTGTTAAGAACCATGTACTGCGTATCGAAACGTAAAAGATTCCCAACCGTGATCTATCTCTTTACCCTTCCTCCACGTTTCACTGTGGATATGGAAGATATTCACTGGGTGGATTTGGAGACCGGTCATTTAAAATCTCTCTAGTCCTTGAGGAGAAAAACATATTTACATGTTAATCTCTTAATTAATTTGCCATATCACTTGCTTAATTGATTAAACTTGTTACAATTTCTGGTAAGGGATTTTATATGATTTATGTAACATGCTGGACTAGGGTTGGAGGACCCCTCGGTCTGCTAGCTTTTATTCCAGCTGGTCTCTTCAAGTTCTAATTGCTGCCAGTGTGCAATCTGCTTGGTGGTTTACACTTTCTCTCCACTCGCTCTAGTAAAGCCCACTTTAAGAGTGTTGGTCTGAAATACAAGTTTCAATAGCACATTAAATTAAGAACTACTTTAGAAACCAAGAGATTCGAGCCTGAAGTGTCCATTCATCTCAAGCTTTATTGTATGTCTACAAGGAACAACACATTTGATGCTTATTGTTGTATTGCTCAGGGGGGATATGGCTCTACACCCTCCCCCTCCTGTCTTTGAGGTAGCTTTCTGAAGAAACCCCAGGACTCAGAAAGCACTTAAACCTTCTTTTCTCAGCAGGAGTTTAGTATAAACATTCCCCATCAGGGAGTTTAGTACAGAAGATGGAAGTTCAGTACAGGAAGGGAGAAGCATCTTTGCCAAAGCAAGTGTGAAGGTTCAACTTTAGCATGTGAATTCAGCAGGAGTTCACAGCTCCTACCACTATATGGGTACAGAGTAACATACATATTCTGCTAGCAGACTCCATCATTTTCTTGTAGGTGGGTTGGAAATCCTTGTGTTAGAAACACTTCCTTCTGACCTAAGTCACAATGAAGACGTGTTGACTGTAATGAGACAGTAATAGCTTCTGCCAGCTCGTCTCGTATGACCGTGCGTTTTCCTCAACAGAAAGGCTACGGGTCAGAGACTTGTGAGCGGTGTGTTCTGGTTAGGAGCAACTACATCGGGATTACTTCTTACTTCTTCCTGGTTCAGTGCGCAGTTACACGTTAAAAGCTAATGTGTCATCATAAAGTTCATGACATAGAATATTTTAACTCTTGCAAAACATTGTGAACCAACCCTGTTGTTCCTGGAGAACTGTTTGTCTTCATGGCTTTTGCAACTCAAGTTCTTGATCACTGGATAATTGACTTATTTGGAGCCTAATTTTAAAGACTTTCAGCTCATGAGAGGTTGGTTGAGAATTGTACTTGGTATCGCCTGTGTAACAACTCTTTTTAATTTGAAAACTGCCCTCATTCGGGTGTGCCGCATGACTGGTAACCAACTGGGCCTCTGCGGAGGGAAGAATAATGCTCATCGTGGGCTGTTTGAGAAAATGTCATTCCCATCTTTTTAGAAGAAACTGATCATCAATTGTTTAGGTAGGATTACAAAGAAGTTAGTTGAGGAAGGTCTGCTTGACGTTGTTTACTTTATTGGAAACCATCCATTTGAAGTAAGGTATTCTTGAAACTTGGCAGTGAGGCCAAACTAAGTTAACCAAAAGTCTAAACAAGCAAGCAGATCAGTAAACACTACAAATTTAGAACTCAGTACTTCACCAGGACTGGGACTGTCCTGTAAAATGCTGTTTAAAAACTTAAGCTGATTCAGAACCATTCTCGATAGCTCTAGTGACTTGCCATGAAAATTGAAACGCAAGCAATATGTTGTGGGTAAACTTGTAGCCACTTATAGAAGAAACAAATTAATGCCTTTCTGCAATTAACTACTAAAAGCTTTATGATGTCGAGAGACTTAACTAGAAAATTGGAAGTTTATTCGCAAGCACCAGATATATACCAATGTTACATTTAACATAAAATAGGTGAACATTTATTGTGATAAAATACCTATTAATCTAATTATTTTACTATGTTAACTTTTGATAGGCTTTAAACAGGTTTTTCATGGGTTATTATTAGTTTGTGGGCAGCATGCTGACACAGTAGTTAGCATTATTGCCTTGCAGTGCAGGAGCCCCAGATTCAATCCTAGACCTGCGATGCTATCTGTGTGGAGTTTGCATGTTTTCCTTGTGTTGGCATTGGTTTTTATAAACTGCTCCTTGCACTCTTCGTAGTTTATAAAATTATTTTTAAAAACTTTAGATATAATGTAAATGTATATCAACTTTTATTCTGCCCTCACACTTCACTACAGTATCTTCCTGGAATAGATTCCTGCTTCACCTGATCTGACCACTCTCTAGAAACCTCCACTGTACTTGAGCTTTGAGATTCTCTTTCACAGCACACCGTCTCTCTGTGCTTCCCTGAGTCCTGCACTAGCTACGTGCTCAGCACACCCTGCCTGTGCAGGGCTCCGGCTGCACACTGCCTGCAAGCTTCCCTGTCTCAGCTGCCTCTCGCCCAGCACTTGGGTTCACTCTGCACCTCATATATCTGCTGCTATTCCAACCTTAATAACAGATTATTACAGGAACTGCATAAACTCTAAAACAAGCAAGCAAAGCGTTCAAAATCTAGACCCTTTTCCCTCTCTTTCCTTAAAAAAACGTTAAGGAAGCATTTTACTAACAGACATGCGGAATGAGGGCATTTGATCGGCAACTGACGAATGCTATAGGAAATGGAGACGAGAAGAACAGACTGGTATCGGGAACGGAATCGCAAACCTAAATATCCCTCAGCAATGTTTTTTTATTTGTCTTTTGCGTTATTAATTGAAATGGCTTTCTGCAACATGCAAACACCGATTTGTTTTCTGCTTTAAAACACAATGATTATTCACCCATCATCACTGCTGTTGGTCCCGCCATTTGATGTCTGAATACTTACATTTTCCATCACCATGTCTCGGTTGTCATTGCATGGTTTCTTCTTGTACTTCTTTTTCAGGCAGCATGCGGTCACAGCCGTGATTAATAACATGACTGCAAACACGGACACAGATGAGGCCACTGCTGTAATAACAACGTCTTCAGATCTCCCTTTCCTCTGGCACCTGCTCCCCATGTACCACCAGTCTTCACCTGCTGCACACCTGAGGAGGATATATGGACGTCAAGTTGGACATTTCCTGATGTTGTTGCGAGTGTTGTCACCTGTCGCGTATCAGACAATATCAACCCCCCGTCCATTTTCTAACCACTTCAACCTATATTGGGGCAAAGGGCAGCCAGAGCCGCAAAACAGGATGCACGGGATGCCAGACCAGCGCAGGACACGTGCAAGCACAAACATGCACCCATTCACACCAGCTTTCCAATTTCTCAGAAGCCCATTAACCTATCAGTATGTCTGTGGACTGTGGGAGGAAACCCACACAAATGCAGGGAGAACATACAGTACCCCAGGTGTGGGATTGGACCCAGGGACCCAGCAAATAAAATCACCTGGTGTCAGTTTACATTTACAATGATTTTGATTTTCTTTTACTGTTTGACATTGTAGCAGACAGATCTTCCCCAGAAACCCATGTGTAGTATTCCTGGATCAACCTCGTTATTTTGGAGTTTCTCCAGCAACAGATCTCACCTGCAGACTGGCTGCTGATTCTCTACCACACAGATCCCATCGTTTTCACAGGTGTGGTTTTTACAGGGTTCACCGGGAGACGCTGTGGTAGTGGGGGAAAATGTGGATGGTGGGACTGGCTGAGTAAGAAGAAGTCTTGAAACATCTGCAACAGAGGGAACATACTTCATCTTTTGTCACGTTCATGGTGACAGCTTTGTCAGACAGACAGGAACTAACCCCCCAGAAAAATAGAATGATGCTTTTGGCATTCAGCAAAGGTTTGATAAGATTTTGTTTCACATCCATTTGCGAGAAGCTGAAATCAGGGGTACAGATCCACCAAACATCGCAGCCTTTACTTGACAGTTAGTGTAAAATCTCTTCAAATGTTCCTCCCTGTGTTAAACCACAATTCCACATACCCTGAAGCAAGCTGTCCTCTGTTAAATGTTTAACGAATACAGTAGCCATTTTATGACTGTAATACATTTTATGTCACAGTAATTAGTAATTGTATAGAGAAATAACATTGTAGATTTAAAATGAATAACATAAACTTTTAAATAGGGAGCTGCGTCAGCATGCGTAGGCTGCAAAGGAAAAGAAAATACAGACAACGTTTTCTTCTTTAGGTGTAATGTAAACTTCAGCACAGTACTGTTTAATCTAGAACATATCTAGAATTTTAGTGACCCTCTGTATCACCTTCAGATCTTTGTTGATCTGCTCCTGGTTAACCTCTTCCACAAACCGACAAACATGAACGTGTCAGTCCATGAAAAGGCCTTGGACATTAGTGTAAATAAAATAAGGCTATAAATCTTTGTCTCTTTTATACCGCAAAGGTAGAACAGTTTTTTTTCCAAACCTCTGTTCAAGGGGGCATACCTTCCACAGTCATGAGGAAAAAGACGTCATCTCCTTTTATGAACTCTCTGCTTCTCAGCCTGTCATGAGTTAGGAATGCACTGGTGCCTCTTCCTGGACCTCTGTAGTACTCAGTTCCATCTGGATCACGGACAAGCTGTCCTACAGTTTCAGGTTTATCCCAAAAATAATATAGGGACCCATTCACTGGAAATGACAGATGCGCAAATGGAACTGTAAGCCTATGATTTTAAATGGCAGGACTGATGTGTAAATGATTTGAAATATGTGTGTTAAGCCTTTTAATGGAGTTTGTAACAAACGTTCGGGAGGGATGACAACAACCCAGTTCAATCAGACTTGGCTGTCAGTAATTAGCAATCACCACTGATGTATTTTGCTCTCCTAAAACAATATAAATACTTATGTGATCCCCTTCTCTCCCTCTCCCTCGTTTGCTGCCCCTTGGTCACTCCTCACTCTGCATGGGGGTCCTGGCCCACTCTCCAATGGCCAGGACCAGGAGGTCAGCCCTCAGCCAAGCAGATTAAACCACATTTTCACTAAAGACCCCATAATCCTTTCAGGACACCTTATTCTTGAGTGTTGTTATTCCTAGTGAAATGTATTTTAAATGCTTACGTTTTTTCTGACTTCTTTTTATTAACATTGCCCAGTCTCAAAGGAAGTGAGAGCAAGTTATTTGGACTGTGTAAAAACATCTGTATTTTCAAAACAGATATAACACGTTTTGGAGGTTGTATCTTCCCTTCAGTGTTTAAATTTTGCTTAAGTCAACAGAACGTTCATATCTAATCTCAGCAGCCTGTTTATTAAATCAGCCTAAAAGCACACATGACCTTGATAACTTACATTCAGTTTTCTGCTCTGTGGGGTCAGTGGTGATGCTTCTCTGGTTGGACATTCGTCGGCGAATGTCAGGGTGCTGGTCCAGCAGTAACATCGTGGCCTGTTGCCATGGACAAGGCCACTGCAGTCGGTCGCTGTTGGTTCCAGAGGTTAAGTGGAAGTAGATGGCGAGATTAGAAGGATTGTCATCGGTACCATTTACATACAGACCAATCTGAAAGGCATATCCAGCTCTGGAGTAGAATCGGGGGCTGTAAATCCTTCCCTGTTTTCCGGGGGGACTATTTGCTAAAAGGTGAGTGAAATTTCTTATGTGCCACACATGATCCGGACAGTCTGTCTCTGATAAGTTGATGTCATCAATAGAAAAACCTCCAAGTGAATTTCCTGCTCCTTTTGTTCCTTCGAATACGACCCGGAACTTTTTTGAGACGTTCAGGTGTAAATGATACAGTTTCCAAAAGTCTTCAGGGGATGCTACAAGGAAAATAATGTCATTATTTCTGTGGTCCAAACTATCTTTTCTATGTTTGTGTTAACCTGTCACATTCCGCAAAAATGTTGTGAAAAAGTTATTACATTAGTCCGCATCTCAAGGTTCGGTTCCAAACAGTTATTAATCAATAACGTTCACGAAAGACAAAGAAACAGATTAAAAGGAAAATCCATCCATCCATTTTCTAACCACTTCTTCGAATTCAGGCTCGCAGGAGAGCTGGAGCCTATCCCAGCAAGCAACGGGCTACAACTTCCGGACAGGACGCCAGTCCATCACAGGGCACACATACAGCACAAACGCTCACACCAGAGCCAATCTTCCCAGAAGCCAATTAACCCACCAGCGTTTCTTCGGCTTGTGGAATAAAACCAGAGCACCCAGGGGAAACCCACACAAACACAGGGAGAACATACAAAAACCACACGGATAGCACCCCAGTTTCAGAACTGAACCCAGGGCCCCACCACTGCAAACCAGCAGTTCTGACCACTGTGGTGCCAATAATGAATATATAAAGACATTTCTACTGCTCAGTCCAGCATTTTAGTAATAAAAGTATTACCTGTGACATTCCCCATGTGCCTAAGGGTTCCTTGAGGGTTATCCTGATCATATTCACGGACCAAGATCTTCAGCTCATCATCTGCACTTCCACTGTGGTAATAGAAGAACTGCAGACACTGGAAGCCTCTTTTGGGGTACAGTATTCTGCTTTCCAAGTAGGCTTTGTCTCCCGCACTTCCTGTGGCTGTGCTGAAGTGCATGAAGTAGCCTGCACCTGCAAACAGGGTTCCAGTAAGATCACTTTATTGGCCATATTTTCAAGAGGCTTTCTTTTTCTAAACCACTGAGAGACTTTGAGCTGACTATTCAAATGAATAGGTCGCAGGTTTTTCTTACTTGTGCTGACGAAGAAAAATCACTCCAACCCCCTCTGAAAGTTTCATGACATTCATGACCCTACCGTTTCGTCTTCAGCTGTGGTTTATATACAGATACTTCACTAGGAATGACAGCAGTTGTGAATGTTTGAGTGTTTCAGTCGTAGTATATTTGACTTGACCTGCTCGGCTGAGCTGGGTTTAGACAGTCATGAGAGGTGAGTTCTACCCTACTGATGCTGTGCTGTTGCCACGGTAATCCTGCTCAGTACAAGAGGAGCTGCAGGGACAGATATCTGGTGTCAGTGCTTGTCTGAGGAGCCAGTGGTGTGGTGTGGTTTTCCCCCTAAAAGATCTGAGGGCAAGGAGGCTGAGACCCCATTCAGAGTGAGGTGGTGGAGATGGAGTAGAGGAATCAAGAAATACGAAGCAGAGAAGGGGTTTGAATATAGCCTTCACAGTTGTTTTCAAAGTTTTGATATTGTGAGGAAATAACAATAGGAATGACTAGGATTTAGGCAGCTGAGCCTGTTAAACCTGGCTTCTGTCACCCCTCCTGAACTCATCGTTGTAAAAAATATTAACATTAATTAACAATATTATAAATGTGAATAGTATCCTGCTAGTCAGATTGAATGTCTTTTTTTTCTTTCTGTACAGATCTCTTAACAATTCAAAAATAAAAAAAAAAACTTTTTGGCCACCTTTACAGCCCCTTTTGTCGCAGCAATAGATAAGGTTAAACAATTTTTGGCCCAAATGTCTTGAATCGACTTGTCATCTCACACAGTATGTTTTTGATGGACAACCTGAAAACATGTAGAGTCAAAATAAAAACAGCTTTTATCTTTGCCTAATTTTCACCTAACTGTGACAAGAATTGACTACTGTAGCCTGCCGGCCTAGTTAAAAAAGAAAACAAAACAGGGTCTGACTCCCTAGGTCTGACTCCCTTGGCGAGGCAAGAGGCGTGTGTGTTTTTCATGCGCCTGACTTTGCTTTGCTTCGGCGGTTCACCACTAGCGAGCAGATAGGAGGTTCGACGTCAGAGACGGGGCTCTCACCTTTGCACTTGCCCATGTCCGTGTGATCCGTATCCAGCTTGCTCGGGACCTGCTTCACACGCTCCCAATCGGCGTTATCGCCCGGGCCCTGGATCATCCCGCAGATATTCTCCAGCTCGAAGCTGCATTGCTCCAGAAACGTTAACGTTGACGCTGCAGGTATGAAAATGTCAGCAAGAAATCTTTGGACAGCTGTAAAGTAGATAAATAGTTAAATAACCGAGCAGATGAGTACAAACTGATCATGTATATGCCAGGAGGTAGTCACGAATAAAACCCATGTGGATGAAGAGGTTTGCTCCCTCGGTGTTTTTATTTTTTGTGCCAAATCCCTCGCAATTAATGTAGAACACTTAGATATAGAAAACCACAGGGTATAATATAAGGAGGAAAAGGCAAGTCTGTTAATTCTATATCATTAAACATCGATTATATTTTTACTTTCTTATTTACTGCAAATACGAGCAATGGTGACTTCTCTGTGACCCTGACATATCTGGCTAAAACCATTCTTAGCATATGTTTCCACGTGAAAAGTGCTGTACAGTTTATTTTTAAAGAAGAACGGTCCAATGTCACCCCGCGAAACAACCGGCTCTAGACGCTGAGGCGCTGTGTCGACTCCTCCGCGCTCCACGCGTCTCTTTACCCCGGTGAGAGAGCAGGTTTGCGTTTTCGCGTGGTTACAGAGGTTTCTAAAGCACAGTATACTCAGTTCCTTTGCCGTCTCATACAAATTGTGTTGTAATATTTAATTCCAACCTTGGCCATTAAGCATGAGAGAAATGGGGCGGGGAGGAACTGTGCAGGAAATGTGAAGAACTTGGAAAAGCGTCTGGACGTGTGGGATTAATGTTCATGAGTGGGTAATGGGTGTGAACGAGCCACCATCTGGGCGATAAAGTGAGGAGTCAGTCAGCACCAGTGTAGCAATGATTCTGCTACGAAGCTTCAGGTAAAACGAGTTTTCCTTTTACTTTCTAATTCGAGATATTGTATTTGTCATTGTAAACAGAGGCATTTGCAAGTTACGTCAGCCGTCGATGACTGATGAACATGGACCATGGATCCTTACCCATAAGTGTTTAGCAAGAACGTTACCGCGCAGTCAGAGAAGGAAACCTGCATTTAACTACATGAACACGATTGTGAATTAATTTGCAGGTGAGTGATTCAGATAAATAAATGATCTGGTCAGAGTGCAGTTCCTGCTATTAATATATATAATTCACCTGCTATTAATATATATATATATTACTTAGCAATCAATCCGTTTTATCTTCAGCAATATCAGCTTAATTAATTGTGCTTCATGTTTTTAAGAAAACAAACCAAAGGTTAGCTATTTATTTAGTTACCAGGATATAGGACTGCTGACATTGCTATTTGTGGAGCGCGGCAGGAGACCTACAGCAGTTGTAGAGCCGGTTGAGCTTCAGAAGGTCACTGTCGCTGAACTCCATGCGCTGACCAATCACGTCCATGAACTGCGGGATCTTCGTGAGGATGGTGGGTTCGGTTCCGTTTCTGAAGGCGGTCTTGCTGTAGTGCATCATGGAGTTGTAGTCATAGGGGACATTCAGTGCGCTGGACACGGTGTCGTTGTAGGTGTTGAAGTTGTGCTCTTTGCCTGAAAAAAACCCAACAACAGACGCCTGTAAGTGATGAATTGGTAGAAACAAAAAAAAACAAGAGTACAATTGTAGTATATGCCTTTAATAATTGTAATAATTTTGATCTCATTTAAATTTTTCTAGGCCAGGCGGTGTGATATTTTTTTTCGGATCGTTAGTGCTCCTAAAGCCCTTTTCTGAAGTGCATTAAAAAAGAACAGGATAAGCATTTGATGTAGCGTGTTGGGCAGCATGATAGTGCAGTGCTTAGCATCGCTGCCTTGCAGCACTGGGGCCCTGCAGTGCTATCTACACGGAGATGCTAGTAATTTAACTGGCTTTTGGGAAACAGGCCCCAGTATGAGTGTGAGTGTGTTTGTGTCTGTGTGCTCTGTGATGGACTGGCGTCCTGGCAAGGGTGTATCCAGCCCTTCTCTCCTCCATGACCTTGAATTGGAAGAAGCTGCTAGACAATGGATGGATGAGTGATGACGCATGGCGCTATAAATCCATTTTAATTTGAATTACAGCAGCCGCCTGTACAAACCCTGTAAAGGAAGGGTGGCGCATAGTGTATTGTTCTGCAGAGTGAAATTGCTCACCAAGCTCCTCAAGACACTGTTACAGAATAACACATGAAAAAAGAAATCCTTAGCATTTAACCACCATGGGCTAAGTTAAATAAAAGCCAACATGTACAAGTCTCTGGGGCACTCAGAAGGTCAGCTTTCAACACAACAGGGATGCAATACCTTCGGAGATGCGATCCCACATGATTTTGACGTAGTCGTCTCGATCCGATCTGGACTGCTCGTGCCAGAACCCCAGCGCATGAAGGAACTCGTGCTCGATCGTGGCGATCCGGTCACAGTTGTTCCCGATGGACAATCTTTGTTTCCCCACATGGCGATTCCCAACTGAGGAGAAGCATCTAAAGGAGGAAAGACCAGACTGAAGCCCCGAAAAAGGTTGCAAGACAGCCTCTGGGAAGTAACTGACCAACTACAGTTGTCGGGATCAACGTTATTTGTTTGTCAATGCAGATGTTTAATAGACGGGCGGAGAGGTGGGTCTGTGCCTGTTGCTAGAAGGCTGCCGGTTCTAATCCCGCGGCTGGCAGAGGAATCCTACTTCACTGGGCCCCTGAGCAAGGCCCTTAACCCTAACAGCTCCAGGGGCGCTGTATAAATGGCTGACCCTGCGCTTTGACCCACAGCTTCTCTCCCTGTCTGTGTGTCTCATGGAGAGCAAGCTACTTGTATATGGCCAATAAAAGTGATCTTATAATATACCTGGGTCTCACTAAATCAGATCCCCATTCCAGGATGTTTACCATGAGAGTGAATCATCAGAATGACTTCAGGAGCTTCTCTCTGTAGTGCACCTATCAAACCTATCATTGCAGTTCTTAGAATCTACATCCCTTACTTGTCAATGTGCCAGGCCTGTATTTTACAGAGTACATGTAAGAGCCTCATTCCTAGATGTTTGACATGAGAGTGGATCAGCAGAATGACTTCACAAGCTTTTTACTCAAGTGCAAAATCTGTTTGATTCATTGAGAGCAGATCAACTCATTTTCAAGATCTACTTCTGATTGAAAAAGATAGGTTGCTGTATTCCTAATTTCTGCATCTATGCTGTCGCCTGGTAGAAATGCACCCTAAAATTGTCTCTCTTCTTCTTTCAGGACAATGGGAGAAAAACTTCCATGCAGAATTTTGTGTGCAGATAGTGCAGTTCAGTTTAATATATCAATATATTCAAATTTTAAAGACTATTCTGATATTCAGCATGGAATATTAAAGCACATTTATTTTGCCTTGTTCAATAAATGATTTAATTTTAAATGATCATCACAGTGGAAGTTTTGTTTTCAGGAAGGCGGTCTTACCCACTGCCTTTGAAGACAGAGATGTAATTTTGCTCCCCTTCCCAGGGCTTGTAGTCAATGCAGGTTTTTAGCCGATATTGTTCAAAAGCCTTTAAGATAACTCCTTTGGCATTAATTTCTATGAAAAAAGCAGAGGAATTAATTCTGAAATTTAAACCAGTCTTTCACTTTATTGGCATGCTGGGAAGTCCCAGCAAACAAACTACAAATCTTGAATCTGAACAGATGATTAGGCTGGTTAAGTCCCGAAACCCCCAAAATTACAGCTCTGAGCTGGTTTGGAACCTGTGTGCAAAACTGTCTATAGTTTAAGCTCCTATATAAACACTGTTGGAGGGAAAGTAATATTGCTTACACTCATCTCCATCTTACTCTGAAGAAGTTTCAAATAGGGAAGAAAAGTGTTGGGTGTACTAGTTTAAGTGAGGAATATCTAATACTGTAAAAGCAAAGCTCAGTTCTAAGGATTTTAGATGGAGGACACAAATTAGAGCAATTCTCCAAAAATGTTTCATTACATTGTGACTTTGCAGATGTGGCTACAATTAAGTGGGAATTTCAAGTCAGGTCAGTTTTCCAATAGGAGAAGAACAATGTTTTTGCCATCTTTGTAGTTTAATTCAAAATCAATTCTGGATTTCCAGAAAAAAACACCTATGTTCTATCCACCATATAAACATATCATACAGTATGTCCTCGTATTTCCTGTGTTGCTTTGATTTGAATGTGTTTGAACAAATCAGTTCCTGCAAATCTGTGCTCTGCAGTAGTATGTAAGCCTGTTAACATGTAAGCCTCCTGGTGCTCCATTCTACAGCTGTTCCTAGAATCCCCATTGCAGTGTCAATAGGTCCCAACAAAGAGCACCTAACAATGGGGAGCAATCAGAAACAGTACAGGCACAAGGGTGGTCTGCTTTAATCGCTCCTGTTGTATTAGTTGCAGTTCCGTTTTTTTACATATGTACAACATGCATTTGCAACACAATATGAAAAATATTTTGCTTCAGAGCTAAATTAGCCCCTGTATATTCAGGGTTCTTGTAGACGTTCAAGGGTATAAAACCAGCCTAAAAAAAATCTATATAAATTAGGAATGCCAAGCATAGGTTTTCACTGCAGCACAGTCTTGCTACCAGCTAGTTGGAGGTTATTTGCCATGATTTTGTACTGAAGCAAAAACTGTTGAAATGTGTCTTGTCCTTATATTGAAGGTAAGGCACATTAAAACAGTGTGCTTCTCTCTGCCCAGCATAGCTCCACAATCCATATGATTCATGTCGCTTTTTATCACTATGTCAACTATGATGGTTTAATCGCTTCTTAGATTATTACAAATAAATGTGTGTGATCCGAACAGTAATGCAGTTCAATTGTTTCACTGATCTTTCATTCAAGTAAAAGCTCACTTCACAGCTCAATATTTACTTCAGGATAGTTCAAGCTTCTGTGACTGGGTGCAAGTCTCTAGTGTGTTTAGGAATGTGAGAAAGGATTTTCAGTATAAACTAGCAACTTTTCCAATCCAACTCAAATAGTGGATGCAGTACACAGTAAGATAGACTCTTATCTAAATTATTTTTAAACAATTGTAATTATTTTTACCAAATAATAATAGTTTTAGATGACAGAAATTGATTGTGTAATTGTATATACTGTATAATTGCAAGTGTTCTCTTATTTTCTTGACCCGATCTGACTATAATCAGTTTTAAAAGAAGTTATGAAACCATTTATTAAATGGCATTGAGGTGTCTTGTAGTTTTTAAAATGGACTAGAAAATGATGGACGTATAACAGCTTAAGTGTTATTTAATGATGAAAGTACTCCTATGCTATGCATTATACATTACCTGACTGAATAAATGCAGATATCTCGATCATTCTTACCTAAACTGTCTTCCAGATAGTAGGGAATTATTTTTGGCCATCTGTACTCATCCCCCAAAATGGAGTTTCTCCCCTGTTTCTGAAGTGACACAGAAATGTTAACCGAAGACCTGAGGTACCCTCTGAAATAATCTTCTGGTTTATCTAGTTTCCTCATATTTTAACATAACTGAAATCCTTTTCCTATTTACCATTTAGTAAGGGACTGAGGCTGTGTTCCTAACTTGATGTAACACTTTATCGTGAACACAGAGCTTCCCATAAACACACAATGTTACAGGAGTGCCTGGGTAGTTATCAAAGGACAGGTCGTGCTGTGTTTGTGATCTATATAGACTAAATGGCCTTTAGATTAAACCTGTCATAACCCTAACCTTAACGCAAGTGAGTAGGTTCTGGCATCTGACAAGTGCCAATACAGCTGCCAAAATTATAATAATGATAAATGACAGTAATATGCAACAAAGTTACCTACAGGCATCAAAATCTGTATGAAATAGGATAACTAGAATAAATGAAATAAAACAGAATCTCTGTCTGTGGCTGGCTTTCTATGTACAGTATGTCTCATCTTTGTTCTTGCTGTACCAATAGCAAATTCCACCAACTATTGTTGAGTGGCAGGAGAGAATAATAAAGAATAATCTAATAAGCCACGATAAGATCATGTTTAATAAAAACAAAAACAAATGACAGCCTTACCTGGTCATACTCTATGTCTCCTTCTACAAGATTCAGTCCTGATTCTGGAAGCAAAGATAACAGACACTCATGAGCTTCAGTTCAAATATTTAGTCTGAATGTATTCAATAAAAGCTTAATCTTTATAGCAAACCTTCATTTATATCGAAAATGTCTCGATCTTTTCCACCATCCACGTCAATTTCTGTAAAGAAACAAGGAGAAATTCATTCTTCTGCTTTTTAGGCATCACATAACACAAACCATGTGCAGCACAAATAATACAGACTTTAAAAATGTACAGTAGGTTCACTAAGGATCCAACGTCGGTTTCACAGTAGCAGCTTTGTTAAAACAGAAATCTGAAAAAAATCAGGAAAATACACTCACCGATATCCCGAGATGTTGGCTGAAAGGAAGAAAAAGATAAAACACTGTAAAGTGATATCGAAGTTATACAGTATCACAGTGTAAGAGCACAGCTGTAATTGTGACAAATTAGCCTGTGGTTTAGTGTTAATAAAAATAATTAACATTCAGGTCCATGCCCATCGCTTGATTTTGCTGTTGTTCTCTTGCTTAGTTTAATCTGATGTTTTACAAGAGTAATAATCTCTTCTGATTGGGAATCAGTGTTTTTAACCAACACTCAACCAACAAGAACAGGCTGAAGTTAGTTGACCATATTGACTTCATTAGAGTAGTATATTAGAAAATGCTTTTTTAAACTATTTTTAATGCCAACATTAACTATTTTTATGCCAATCTGTAATTCTAGCTATTTAAAGATTGGAAAGACCTTGAAAAACTAAATAAATACAAAGGTTTTATATGTCATCAGAAAAGGAAAAGGAGGACATTCTGATCTCGAACTTGAACTTGAACTTTATTGCCATATGTAACCGGTACATGTACTAGTACAATGGAATTCTTACACAAACATTTCTAAAATGATCCCAAGGTACTTTCTAGAACCAACAATGATACAGGTCTTATTCCAGTCCCCCAATATTAAAAAAAAAAGTTTTAAAAAAAGTTTCTGGTTTTCAGTTTTTACACCCTTGAGGAACATATAGTGTTGTCAGACAGACGGAAAATTATCTGCACATGCTCTTTGTTTTCTACTGTGTCTTTAAGGATAATGAACAAGTTGCCTTCTCTGAATCACTTAGACTATAATACACACTTCAGTCTATGAATCACAGAGACAAAGTCTAGAGAATATTAGTTTAGGTAGGGGCATGAAATTCTTTCACAGCACAATAGTCCAGGGAATAATGTTGCCCTCTAAATTGAATACATAAGGAATCAAGGCTTACTGATGAAGACCATCGTTTTTCACCTAACTACATACTACAGCACCATGTTCAGGCTGTGGAAGACACATGAACAAATGTGAACAAATTCACTCTATCTCAACTCGGCAATAACGCCTACAGCCCAACCTTTATAGGATCAGTCCTTGAGCACTGGCAAGTCATGTTCTTTCAGTACAGATGATCTGATTCAAAGGAACAGTGAAGAGTAGTTGTGAGGACTCTTGAGGTTTGTAGTTAAAATCCCATGAGGCCCCTGCTACTTCACTGTTGAATAAGGTACATAATGCACCTGTGTAAATGTGTACCAGAATGCATGTGGAAAAAAATAGATAATTCCTCTCAGTTGCTATGGATTGAAGTGTCAGTTAATTGAATTTGAGGAATTTCTTAGCACAATTCCACTCACCTGTGTATATAAGTCTCACACCCAGGACTTGAGCGGATCATGCTCGTACCTTTCTGTTCCCCCTCATCTACACCCCTGCAGCAGATCCCTGCCTCATTCCTTATGATACAAAGGGGGTCTGGGTAGCCTGCCAGTTTCAGCCAGGCGAGCTAAGCCAGACACCCTTTGCACTGTGGCTAAGGATCTGTGCCTGTGGCTGGAAGGTTGCTGGTTCAACTCCCCCACCTGGCAGAGGAATCCTACTTTGTTACCCTTAACCCCAGCTGCTCCAGGGGTGCTGTATAAATGGCTGACCCTGTGCTCTGACCTCAAGCTTCTCTCTCCCCATCTGTGTGCCTCATGGAGAGCAAGCTGGGTATGTGAAAAGACAAATTCCTCATGCAGGAAATTGTATATGGCCAATAAATATTTTTATATTTATGCTTTATTCTTATATTTGTCTTTCTCTTGTTCCCTTTCATTAGTATCTAACTCAGTTACTGATCCCAAAAAGTATGTTAACAAAAGTTTAATAAAGAAATGTGTTTTTCAAACATTGAATTTACTGTACTAATTTACTGGCTCCTTCTTACAGAGAGAACAAGAATCGTGAATGTTATGGAGTTTTGTAAATATATTTTCTCAAAAAATGTTCATGTGTTACATTGTTGTTACAGAGTTTCAAAATATTACATTGGATTGGATTATATTTTTAAAGTACTCACCATGCATAGACATTGCTGGCAAAACAAACTCAGAATGAGAAACGCAGAGTACGTGTCCATTCTTCTTGGGTTACTGGTCACAAGACAGGCAGATACAATAAAACTACAGTTTTATTGTACATTCGAATTGCACCACTTTGCCCTCAGAGACAGTACTTACCATAACTTAAATATTAACAACATAAACTTCAGTCCTTGCAGTTAAGATAAAACACTTGCTATATATTGTAAATATTAAGCCTTTTTTGCTTTCAAGTCCATTACATTCAAGTTATTGTGAATCCACCTTCTCTATAACAAACACACAGATTTTGCTTGCTGTCTCTTTTCATATTTATAACTTTCATTATGAAAATGTATAATTTGTTGCATGATATTTGATCCTGAGTGCAGAGTTAATAACATGTTTGTGAGTGACCCTACATCATAAGGCATTTCCCCTTTTTGTGTTGATATTGTGGGGCAACGGTCATCAGGTGAGCTCTAACCTCAGTTCATCAGCAAAACATCATGTCCACAGAACACAAGAAGCAGCCAGCGCACAACTTAGAACTTTATAAATGCAAAACTTGTGCCAGGTAGCCAGGCTCACTGGCCCACAGTGAGAAGCAAATATCCTGTCCAGCTGTAGAAGAAATGCCAGAGGCCATAATCATGTTTTCTCCCAGTGTTATTATTTTTCTTTTTTGGAATTGTATTGTACTTTAATATTTTGAAAATGTTCTGAATGTGAACAACACGGCAAATTGACAGAGATTAAATGCAGAGATCAGAAATAGACTCCAAGTTTCACTGGGGTAAAAGTACCTTGCACAGCGATTGCTGTGAAAACTATAAAAACATCACCTGACTGACTGGATCATGGCTGCCATTTGGCAGACCAGCGACCAATTACATGACTTATAGCCAATGCATAATCCTGCCTTCCGAAAAAAAGATTTCTACTTTGTCCTCTGATAGCTCCATAGCCAGTTCCAAAACAAAAATAGACTCCCAAAATTCAGGGAGAAGGGATTCACGTACTGTACATCCAGTTGTGTCACCAGACCAAAATATCAAATACATCCAAACATTTCAGCATCATCTCAGTGAGACTCACAAAAGATATATTGAAAGAATGGTTACATACAGGAAATTATTAATCCCTTCAAGTGAATGTTTCAGTTTTTCAGTAACTAATTGATAACAGTGTGCTCCCAGAAGTAAAAAGGCATCATTTTATATTAACAATAATGTGCAATCTGAACTGAATATTGATTTCTATATTAAAGACCTAAAGAGGTCACAATCCTGCTTGGTGTATCTGCTGTCATTGCTGAACTCCTCAACAGCAAGGAAATACTGCACCCTGCTCTGAATTGAAGACATCCAACAGCTATTGAGCACATGGGTGCAGTGGGGTTGATCTGTCTTGTCACATTCGGGATGTGTCTTGAGTTTTTATTTCTGCCTGACCCTGGCCTCTTTCACACACAGTGGGAAACCCTGCAGGAGAAGCAGTTATCCAGAAATGAGCTCCTCCTTTCCAGGGCTGTAGCTGAAATCCTCATGGATGAGCTGGGGGTCACAGGAAAGCGCTATCCCTTATACAGGATGAAGAGGTTCAAGGAGGTGGCTGCATCAGCATGCGCAGGCTGCAAAGGAACGTTAAAAAGTTAAAAGTTTATTCCAGGCTGAAAAGAGTAGAAAGGAAACACAATGTTTTGACCGTGGAGACTTCTTCCTGTGTGAGAAAGACAGGGAAGACAGCAGAGTTAGAAGGAAACAAGGATTTTCAGGACCTGAAACTAGGTTCACACCTCCCCCTTCTCTCAATGACAGACTTGTTTCCTTCTAATCCTCTTTATTAATTTATGGGTTTTCGACTTCACACCTCTCTAGACCTCACACCGCCTGAGTGCCCACTCTGCCTCCCTCCTGCTCCTGCCTCCTCTCCACTCCTGGCTTTTGTTCTCCTGTGCTATATAATCTCTGCTGACTTCCCTGTCTTCCTCACGCCCAAAAAAGGCTCCACCGCCGAAACGTTGTGTTTCCTTCCTTCTCTTTTCAGCAGGGAATAAACCTTTACTTGTTCCCTTTTATGGGATGTCAGGGATCTCAGCAGGACATCCAGACAGGAGTCTCCAAAAATAAAATCAGAATCTTCACCATACAGTAGAACAAGTTGATATACTGTACATTTACCTTTTAAGACCCCATGGCTCCCCAGGAACATGGATACGTAAGAACAAATTGAAAGATTTTAAGACTTCTTAGCTATTAATATTTGGTATCTTCACAGCAGTGAAGTGAAGAAGCCTTAGAATCATTTAGGAGATTGAATTCTAGCAGAGTAATCTTTGATAATGTTGAGATGATGTAGGAGACTGTGCAGTGATTTCTGACACGATACAGCCTCTAAAAAATCAGGTTCCTCAAACCTTCTCAACCTGTCACATCACTTGTTCCATCACGCACTGTCACAGTGGGACTATTATTTAGATGGAAATAAAAGGGATTATACTACAAGAAATTAACCCTAAAAGGTCAAAGGTTCAAGAGGGTCTCTATTTCTACTAAGCTTTCCTACAGTATTTATTACAATCTAAACTCTCCATTGTGGCTCTTTCATCAGTAAAGCCCACTTGAAAATGCTCATATTATTAATTATGTCATGGTGTGTTCTTTCTGGACCCTATAGGGCGACACGATCCAGGGTTGAGTGAGAAAGCCTGAGGAAAAAAGCATGCAGGATATGGGGATGAAAACAGGGGGGACGTGTTCATGGAGTGCTGGTGGTCGGGGGAGGTGTGGCCGAGGCAAATGATCCAGGAATGAGACAAACGGGAAATCCTAAAACAGGGAAAAAGTCAGAGGCCAGGCGATCCATCTGAGACAGACGATGAAAATCCAGAACTGGGTCAGTACCGGCAGGTGGCACTGGAACGGGAACAAGAAACAGAAACTAAAACCATAACGCAACCAGGTCCTGGGCTCGCACGATGCGGGAACCAATGCAGAGCCCACATTAGCGTCAGCGTCTGGCTTTTAAGGGGGAACTGAAAAGGGGCTGGAACAGGGAGCAGGTGCGGGAGATGAAACTAACAAGGAAGGGCTGGAGCGCCCTTCAGAGGAGGGGTTGCGATCGTGACAAATTGGAGCACAAGGCATTAGTACTCTGTGTACAACAGGAGACATGCAGCGTTTATAAGTTCACATGGGCCATCTGGAACAAGTAGAGGTTTATTCCATGCTGTGGTGGCTGTGTTGTAACTGTCTGCCATATACAGATCATTGCCAAGTACACCTGGGGCTTTTTTATCAGCCCATCATAAATTCCAGAAGGCAGTTTATGAGAACAAAGCCAAAGTCTAGGAGACTGATGGAGTTTTATTTTTTCCTTTGCCTCACCTTAAATAGAACTGTGGTTATTTTTAAGCACAGATCCTTTTAAATTTTTTTTAAAATTATATGCATGACTATGCATTACTTTATTCATTTTACATCCATTTCATAGGCGTAACCTGACGTAATCGGAGGTATGTTAACTAACATTAAAAAATGAAACATTAAAATTAGTACACAGTGTTTGGTAAATCTAAGCAAACGTATGATAAAGCTTTAGCATTTGTTTTGAAATTCTGAATCTGATTTTTCTAAAACAAATGTTGTCTAAAAGTGTTTGGCCGCCGAGTCTAGAGAAAAAATGTCCTTTACCACTAGGGGGCGCTTGTGAGCGCTTGAGATATTCTCCTTCAACAAAAAAGCCAGTAACTGTTGCAAAGATTCACATTCCTGCCCTGTTAATGTGTATCACTAGTAACATCCGGCCTCACCGGCCTGCTCAGGGTGGAAAGCAGATGAAGAGAAGTGAAACTCTTGTATGTATGATTTTCTCCAAAAACGTTTTAAAGAGGCTGTGTAGTTTTATTTCTTACTCTCTATTGCAATGTGAATTTTGCTTTAGCTGGTTTTCTCCCTTAAGGTTTTGTGTGAAATATACATATTTCACCTTAAACCTACAGAATTCACACAAAGACATGCTGTATGACGTTGACATCGTGGGACACTATTAAGACCACACTTGGACTATTGGAATATAGTACACTCATCCCTCACCAGATGAGAAATGTTGGTTCCAAAATTCATGAAAAACAAAAACTTGTAAAAGTGACACTAAATTTCCATTAAAAGTCATATAAAAGTTTCTGATTCTTTCCAAGAGCTCATAACTGAACATAAACCCTTTGTGTTTAGATAGGTTTCTGATGTACCTGGATAGTTGGGCTCCATGTTATGTTACAGCTAGAATTTGACAATAATAATAATAATAATAATAGTTAATAATTGCTTACACTTATATAGCACTTTTCTGGACACTCCACTCAAAGCGCTTTACAGGTAAAGGGGACTCCCCTCCACCACCACCAATGTGCAGCCCCACCTGGATGATGCAACAGCAGCCATAGTGCGCCAGAACGCTCACCACACACCAGCTATCAGTGGGGAGAGCAGAGTAATGAAGCCAGTTCATAGAGGGGGACTATTAGGAGGCCATGATTGGTAAAGGCCAATGGGAAATTTCGCCAGGACGCCCCTACTCTTTTCGAGAAACACCCTGGGATTTTTAATAACAACAGAGACACTTTTATATTATGAAAGGATGGTTTTATGAGCAGCTTCCACCTGCTACTCTACCTTTCATGGCAGATTCTTCACAAGAACATATTTATAGATCTCTCATATGATTTTAATATGTTACATATGGAAAGAAATCATAACAAAACTTACAAAGAATCACAGAAAACCCAACAGCACACACTATGCCATGTCTCGTATACAACAGCAAAGCCTCATTTAGAAATAAGCTATTGTAACGCTTACGGCCTCCATTCCTTGTGTGAGCCGGCTTACCAGCGTGGTGACGCCACCGCCCTTCCCTGTGAATAGCAGGGACCGCAGCCGCCGGCCTGACGGGAGATTTCCCTTTGGCTCAAGAGGCTGGGTCCCTGCTGAGTGATGCCAGAGGCCTGGGTTTGAGTCCCTGATGGTAGTGGGCTGACCTGATGTGGCAGTGGTGAGGGCGCCCATGTGAACCCTTTATAGAAACTTTATAGTTTGTCACAACATTTAACAAAAGCGACTTGATGCATTCTATGCTGGTTCCTACTTTTTGATCTGAAAGAGCATGTTTTACTTTGACGTCCTTCTTACCTGAGCAAATGAGAGAGACTGAAATCCTTAATGCTAGAGTGAGGCCTGGATAAATCAAACTTCCAATCCCCTCGCCAGTCCCTGGTCTTAATGTCAACTTGTTTGCCTCTTCATTTTAAACTATGACAGTCTGCCATGTACAGTAGCTTTGGGATTGACAAATGGATAGCAGTTTTGATTTAATCCAAAACTATATGACTGACAGGACCCATATACAGTACATTGATTTTGTGATTAAAGTAATTAGTACAGGAAGCACAGAAATTACATTTTACTCAAGGTATCTGATGAGGACCATTCTATAAATTCGGACTACATTTAGGTTGGAAACATGCCAGGCTTATTGCACTAGTGCGTTATAAGATGCTAAGATTGCAGCTTGCTCGTTAATGGTGTCATCATGTCTCGTGTCCTGTAAAAAAAAGTGTTTGAGATAGTGTCAAAAGAAGGTATTGGTTTGGACCATCAGATTAGTTAATACGCTGGGCAAGCACACCAAAAGTGGTTTGTTTGTTTTTGAAAGTAAGAGTTAAAATACTATTGATTATTAACTATTGGAATTGGAGTGCCTAAATAAATCCTGACTAAATAAGATATTTCTGAAAGGATTGCATCAATTCCAAGAGTTTGTGTCACAGCCAAACCCTTTTCCTTCTGTAAGTTCAAATTTAATTCCACCTAAAAATCAATGCAATCAAATGAAATGCAATGTTTGCATGCAGGGATCTTATTATTCTTGTTGTTTTAGACACTTTACTAGATAATTGTCTGTTTTTCATCTTTTAACCTTATGATACCTATGGGTTCTGACTGAGCACTGCTGTTAAATGTTGTTTTGTATCATGTACTGTCGCTGTAGTGAATTATTGTCAAGTATGTAATACAATATTAATTCCATTAAGGGCAATGAAGGTCAATTCAATTTGATTCAATTCAATTGGATTCAGTTCAATTCAATGTATTCTACTTTGTCATAAATACTGTATGTGATCAAACTTTCGGTGACCACCATAAACTTGTAAGATATTTCTTTGCACATTATGCTAAGTAAACCTCAGTGCACAATTAAATTTCAATTCAAATAATTCAATGTCATTGCTTCTGTTCATAATAACTCACCATAAAGTCCTCCATGTAGAAGCCGTGTCTCAGGATTAGGTGTCCAATGAAGTTTCGACTCTGATAAGTAGGATCCCCATGAGGCAGAGCTGAACATATTGGACAAACCTTGCAAGGAAAATAAATTGGAAAATTGGAATAATAGAATAGAATAAATAAGAGCATTGATTCAGGGTTCATTTGGATTTAGGTCACTAAATATATTCAGTTTAACAGCTTGTAATTTGATGGTAATTTATTTACCACACGCCTGGTGTCGCGGAGATGGTTTTCATTACAGTGGTCCAGCAAATCCAGCTCATCAAGACCAGCTTCCTCACAGTATGGGCACTGAAAGGTCATCACTGGGACACTGCAACAAGAAGCGCTTTCGTTCAAACGAAAAACTTCCATCAAATGCCTAAAGATCATACTCGTACAATATGCAAATACAAATGACAGACCCAGTGTCGCAGTGTCGACAGCCCAGCACAGTGTCAGCAGAGACTTCTCTCTAAGTTCTCAAAAGATGAAGTATCTTTTAAAGGAACCAAAAGGGTACGTGGGAACAGGTGGGAGTGGCAGAGAGGATGGCTTCAGAAACATTTCTGCCCCACATGGCAGTTTTGTAGTTGATATCCTCGACCCCAAGCAGCTATCTGGAATCTGTCCGAACAACGGTAAATTATAGGAGCACAGACACGCGTGTTTCGAACAACAGAGCAATCCAGGAGTCAGACAGGATGAATTGCCTCCTCCTGTCTGTAGCCTGAGTGTCCCGATCGTAAACCCCTCCTCTTAAGGACACTCCAGCCCTTCCTTGTTTTATACTCATTTCCCACACCTGCCTCCGGTTCCAGCCCCCTGTGCTATAAAAGCCAGATATATAAGTTCCTGCCTATCGGGGCTCAGCTTTGGAAGATGGACGCCCGCCTACCCACCTACCCGCGAGTCCAGGAGCGACTCGACGGCATAGGGTTCACAACGGCGTCCTGACCATCTGGGTCCGGGATTAGGTAGCGTCTGGTCCCGTTACCCCCTTTTTATTTCCCGACCCTCCGCCGGATCCCGCTCCGGTTTTTAACTCTGTTTGTCTATCAGGATGGACTACCCGGTCTTGGACATTTGCTACACTCATGGATTTGCCTCGGACTCCCTTGGACTGTTTACCTCGGCTAGACCTCCCCCGAACACCAGTGCACCCTGGACACTCCCCCTGTTTTCCTTCCAGCCCCCTTGCATGCCTTTTTCCCCGTGTTTTCTTCACTCCTCCCCAGATTGTGTTGTCTGCATAGGGTCCTGAGAGAACGCTTTGTGACACTGAGAAAGTGACAGGGCAGTAAGAGACACCCACCCTTCAACAGTCACCGCCGGGCCTGCAGGAGAGGGACGTGCAACGCGGAGGACGGAGCAGTGCCTTTGAGCGTGATGTCTCATTTGGCTGAAGAACACCTAGGAAACAGAGGGCAGCGTTACGGGCTGTCTGTCTTATTCTGTAAGGGGGCATCAGCACTCTTCATCCATCTCAGTTGTCTTAGTGTGGCACATTGGAATCATCAGATTTTCATTTGTTCAAATAAAAGCCGTTCAGATGGTGATTTCAGCCTCACTTTTTATTTCAGTTCTCAAGGTTTGCCTTTAAAGCATTGTAGAATTGAGGTAGCTCAGTGGGCTGAACCTGACTGGGATGCCCATATGGGCTCAAAACCCATGTCAAGGCATCAGAGATCACAGCCTTTTACAGAGGCAGTGGTTCGCATTACGGCTTTGCAGCACCAAGGACCTTGTTTTAAATCCTGGGGTGCTATCTGCCCCAGTGTATTTGCCACTACTGCTATAGTTACCACAATATTATCACTTATAAACGAATGATACCCTGAGTACTAGTTATAATATCTTGTTGGTTAAATGAAAGAATAATTAGCTTTTACATTTAAAAAAAAAAGCTAATTGGAATAAATTCTAGCTAATATTAAAAAGACAACTCAATTATAAAGTATACTGTATTTCATCATAATTACTCTTCGTTTAATATACCATAGGTCCTATGTCATGTGCATTGATGATCAAAATTTAGCCACTTTTGCTGGACACTGGAGTTTTAAAGTAAAGTACAGCTGTGCTTTTATTCAAATTAAACAGTTAAACATTTGTGATGCTCATACATATCATCAAAGATCATGCATGATGTTTTCACAAAAAAGCATACCATATTTTCCCTTTGTTACTCTTAAGTGAATTAGTGTTCAGGTAAAAGTTTTATCAAGGGTATTTAGAGATTATGTTACCGGAAAGCTATTTGTAACAACAATACGTGGGATGCATATACAAAAATGGTTTTACCAGTTTATGTGTTGAGGAAGAAAGGCCCCTGGAATTGTTTTGCTCTTTCTTCAGTTTTCTTTGCTTTCTTTCTCAGGCATTTTGAGAAATAACACTCCCCTATAGACTATGTTACTTAATTCTAACTACTAAAGCTCTTGGTCTTTGTATTGGTAGGGATTTGCAGTCCCTGTAAATTGTGTTTACACTACAATTGACAACATTCTCTTTTCATCAAGAGGGTGGTGCTGTTGACCCAGGGCACTGTCTGTTTGTGTAAGACTAATGGAGTCTGAGTGAAGGAATAACATCTGGAGTAGCTGCACATCCTGTATTTGGTTGAAAATGTTTTTAACTGATTGATGACTAATTACCTCTTTTGAGTTCTTATTTGGGGCTGGTAGACTAGTCACAAAGATGTATTATTTGTAATAAGTTAATATCAATGACAGAGAACTATTTACATTTAAGCTTTGTGAGATTTTGGTGCTGCTGAGTAGAGCTTATTTTCACAATTTTATTTGGCTTTGTACAAAACAGCTCAGAATCTACCATGAAGGATCATTTATTGTGTACAACCATTCATCAGGAAATAAATAAGATTCTGAGGTCTTCGCATGATTCAGATATGATATATACAGTGTATGTTGGAAAATAATCATCCTTACACTTATATAGCACTTTTCTGGACACTCCACTCAAAGCGCTTTTAAGGGAATGAGGACTCCCCTCCAGCACCACCAGTGTGCAGCTCCACCTGGATGATGCGACAGCAGCCATAGTGCACCAGTACTACCAGTGTGGATGAGAACAGAGTGATGAAGCAAGTTCAGAGAGGGGGATTATTAGGAGGCCATGACTGGTAAAGGCCAGGGGAGAATATGGCCAGGACACTGTGGTGACACGCCTACTCTTTTTGAGAAACGTCCTGGGATTTTTAATGACCACGGAGAGTCAAGAACTCAGTTTTACATAAATTCATGTGTTTATTGTCCCGCATGACTATTGTTTTGTACAGACTGTTGTATGTTGTTGTGCTTTGTTGTACTGTCATTATTTATTATTTACTGTTTTGTAATGTACTTGCACATTGTGTGAAAGTGCTTTACCTATTGCCCTGTTCAGATCCCGAGAGAACAGCGCCAATACAAATCCTAATGTATATGGACATTTATGGCAAACAAACTCTCCCTCTCCTCTCTCTCGCGGTGAGTATTGCCTACCACGGAGCGACATTCTGCGCAAGTGCCGGAGGTGCTCTCCATCCTCTGCACGACATCTCTCGCCGGTGTGACCGGCCCATCGCTGGGACCCCTACAGACGGGGCAGTGGCTCCTGGTCCGGAGAGCCTCAGACACACAAGACCGGCAGAAGCTGGAAGAGAAAACGGAACAGAGATATAGGTGTTTCTGCAGAAGGACCCTTCTACAACGATTGTGGTCAATATGACTGTCATGCTACCTGTCACGGTCGTCATCCCTCCTCTAGAGGGCGCTCCTGTGTTGTTCTTAGTTTATTAGTTTCACCTGGGTCTCATTCCCTAATTTAAGCCCAGTGTCTCCATTGTTCCGGGCTCAGCTTTGGGAGACGTCTGAAGGCCCGCCTATCCACTGGGCTCAGGAGCAGGCCGAGGGCACAGGCCTTTTCCCCAGGCGTCCTGACCTCTGAGTCCGGGGCTTGGAGCGCCTTGCCCCGTTATGGCTTTACCATTCCGTGTTACTACTTCCTTGTTCCTGTGTTCATCTTGGATGGACCTCCTTGCAATGGACATTGGACTTTTTGGATTTGTCGCCTCAGCCTTTCCCTGTGCACCGGATCACCACCGTCAGTGCCCCCTGTCTGTCGACCCGACCTCATCTCGCTGTCCCTTCCCTGATGCGCTTCTCCAGACACTTCCGGATCATACCGTCACGCACAGGGTCTGTTACAACGCATTTCACGGGAGTTAGTCCCGGCTCCCCTGACACTACCACAAGCAACTAGAGCAGCAGTAATGATTGTCAAAAAAACTAAAGTTTTTTCAAAAACAGCACAGATATGAATAATTCTTTAGAAATATAATATAGAACATTAATCACCAGTGATTTGGCACAGAGATAACCAATGTTGACTTTTCTGTCACGGCCTTTGTTACATTGTTTTTTCCCATATCCATGCCAAACTACGGTCAGACCTGTCAGACGTGTACTGAGCTGTGATTCCTTTAAAACCAGTTTCAGATCTCATGTCTCGTATACTTGCTCTCTAACGCCCCTAATGCATCCTGTGCCAAAGAAGTCCTAAAGTGAATTTATCATATGTATTTATCAGCAGGCTTTCTGTAATACAGCAGACTACTATAGAGGCATCAAATAAATCCAATAAACACTGCAAAGACATTATCCTCAGGAGGGTGGGGTGGGGTTGTTTTATGGCACAGTCCAGTACAACAATAAAACAAAGAAGATAAACATTACCAACAGAGACAGTGTTACAGGAGATAAGAGAGTTACTTTTGTAAAGTACTCTGTAAAGTGCAACGCTGGGTACACCCTCAATTACAGTACAGCAGAAAAATTTGTATTCTGGTATAATAGAATCTAGGTGTGGAAGCTTCACTACTGATTCATTCTTGACCTGTTCTGTTCTAAAGACTTAAAATGGAGTGATAAAAAAAGAATACATCTTTACCATCGGCTCTATCCAATGTCAAGGACAGTAGGTTGAAATTCTATAGAAGTTTTTTTTTACCAAAGCTATACATTTTAAGGAAATAGCACAGTCAAGTCAGCCAGAAGTTTTGCCATCACTAAAGAATTCCCCGATCACATGACCTGGTCTGTACACCCGACAAGAGAATGACTCTTTTCATACACTCTTTGTGTCACTAAATAAACACTTACTTATCAGAAACGAATAGACAGATATATTTTTAGCCTTTTATAATTTTATTATTGTAGAACCTGCTTAAAGACTGACTTAGTTAAAGGTCTATATGACAGTTTCACAACAAAACTCAGTTCCTGAGCTTTTTTTTTGCCTCAAATAATAACCAGAGCTCACAGCACACAAGTCACATATTAACACTCAAAATAGTACCGTGATACTGGAAAATGAGAGGCATTAGATTCTATTGCAGTAAAATCTACTCTCCCAGAAGAATTGGTTGGATCAGCATTACAGCAAAACATTTTGCTGGAAATCGTTAAAGCCTCTCTGATGCACTGAATCTAAATATTTATTTTTCCGAATTATATACTTTGTATACTAATATACATATAAATACTAGCGCATTTGGCTGGCACAGTGGTGCAGTGGCTAGCTGGGCTCTGGGGCCCTGGGTTCAATTCCTGGGGTGCTGTCTGCATGGAGTTTTATGTTGTCTCTCTGTTCACGTGAGTTTCCTCTGGGTGCTCCAGTTCCCTCCCACAGTCTCCCAGACACATCCGGGTAGGTTAATTGGCTCCTGGGAAAATTGTGTGTGAGTGTGTGTGTTTGTCTGTGCGTGCCTTGTGATAGACTGGTGTCTTATCCAGGGTGTATACTGCCTTGCACCCCTTGCTTACTCTGACTCACAACTTGCTTATCTGTTCTTTACACTCTTAGAAGGCTGAACGTTGGACTTCACTTTCAAGTGCGAAAACAATTAAAATCATAATAAAAAGATTTTAGAATTCATTCTGGGTCATGTAATCTAGATAGTACAATACCAGCATTCCGTCTGACCCACAGAACTGAAAAATTATCGCTTAACAGAGGCAGATCAAAAGACCAATCCTGTGCTCAATGTATTCCATCACAGTTCGCTTTCTGAGTTCAGACAGTACTGTTCTCTACTTACGCATGTCTGCAGGGTAAATAAATAGGATCCAGAAAGACATCTTTACAGATTGGGCACTCAAATTCGACTGGCGTGTCACCACCTGCAGTTCCAGACTCCATGATCTGCCGAAGCACTGAGAAAGTTGTTTTACTTTTGCTTTAACACATCTCTCCCAAACTATGCAACACAACTTTACCCACAATACCACACAGAACGTTTGTAATTTCCGTTTTCTTGCCAGCTTCCTGATATTTTTATCACCACGTACAGATACGTTCAATCTCTGTCTCTATTTACAGTAATTCAACAAACAGCTCCCAAATAACCCTCAGAAATATCTGAGTCACGCTACTGCTTCATATTACTAAATCCCCTCCTGCGAGGCTGCACTTGTATCAAGATGTAATAGAGGACAGTGTGAAACAGAAGAAAATATTACAAAGAAAATGTTGAGAGTAACAGCATGTATATAGAGATGTTTAAAAAACTCACTCTGTTTGAAGTGGTTTATGTGACAAACAGCCACATAAAATATGATTAGTTTTAGATGAAAACATGTGAACAAGCCAAGATACTCGCTATCGGTTCCATGGTGTAATCCGAGTTCAATCTCGGTGGAACCTGAGCTGGATGTCCTTCTTACTGGGGCGGCGGCTCTGTAGCTAAGGATCTGTGCCTGTGGCTGGAAGGTTGCCGGTTTGTATCCCACGGCCGACAGAGGAATCCTACTGCGTTGGGCCCCCGAGCGAGGCCCTTAACCCCAACTGCTCCAGGGGCGCCGTATAAATGGCTGACCCTGCGCTCTGACCCCCAGCTTCTCTCTCCCTGTCTGTGTGTCTCATGAAGAGCAAGTTGGGGTATGTGAAAAGACAAATTCCTAATGCAAGAAATTGTATATGGTTAATAAAGTGATCTTATCTCTTCACTTAGGAGTTGCTACTTTCACCCCCAGAAAAGACTGATTTAACAGTGACACTGAGATGGTGTTTAGAGGGCACACAATTATTATTTCTAATGTTGCATTTACACTCTGCAAAAATAATGAAAGGTATTTGCAAGATATTCTAAATATAAAGTATAATGATTGCAAACTCTGACAGCAATAAAATGAGGAAGCTTTCCAAGGGGTTGTCCACTTTTGCAAGCCACTGGAAATCATTTTTCATTATGTCTTTGGGCTATCTGTCTATTATAATTTGTGTTTTACAAATGTGAATCTTATTAATAAATGATACCAACAACAAAGGGTCAGTCTAAAATTATGGTGTATCTTAATACCAAGCACAATGCAAAAGGGATCTCATAAATCAATATAAGGCAATATCCTCTCTCCCATTTCTGAATGATAAATACTGTACAATTACAGTACAGTACAACGCGTCCAGGCAAAGCTGTATGTGTCCAGTGTAGGTTAATTGTTTGATTTACTAGTCAGATTGGAACAGAACAGACAAGGTCTTCGGGAACCGTGCTTGAAAGTAATTTCACCTACCTGGCACTTGACAGGTGTTATGGAGCTGGAAAAACTGCGTTGCAGCATTACTGCTAAAGTGTACGTATGAGAGAGCCACGCTTGCTGTATTCTAGTAGTGGTTTACCGAAGGCTTTAGGCACATTTTGATTTCAATACAATACAATATTAATAAAATTAGTGCTTCAACTGGTGAGCCTATAAACAGTAAAGTGTCTTTATTATAAAGGTGCTTGTAGAATATGGCATGTCATATGATACATTAAGAACCCATATATCAGGCCGTTATTATTCACTGATTCAAAGAATAAATATACAGCAACAACTGAATGTCTGTAAATATTCTGCCTTACGCTACTGTTAGTCATAATTGTGTTCAAAAGTTATAAAACTAATCACATAGTACTGTCATGAATGTATTACTGTACAGATACAATATTTTAAGATATAATTTAAAATACTATTTTTTTCACAACAAACACGAAATAAAGAAACTTGCATACTGGATTTGTTTAACTTTATTTTGTCCCTTTTTAATTCACACGTGATGTCTTTCAAAAATACGGCACTAAAAAGTCTATGTGCGCAATTCCTGAGTGATCAGCTATATAATGCTGAACATAAGCACTTGCACGCAGACAGAAGAGCTAATGCTGGATAATACTTTTCCCACCTGCTTCAAACCAGGAAAAGTAAAGTGATTATTTGTAGGTGTACTTAAATGTCATGGTACTTTTCTGAATAATAGCCTAGTAATCTAGAAGTGTTATAAATCCATGAGCTTATATAAGATACTGTTTCCTACTGATAAGGATGCCCTCCAGTTTCAAAATAATAATTTTTAATTGTAAAATCACATTCAGTTTTTACTAGTACACGACTGAAAGAATCTTCATGTAAAATGTCCTCTGGCACTTTGCCTATGCTGAAATAATCCCCGTGGTAGATATGTACATCACTTTCATCACAACAGATTTTTATAGGTTTTTATCCCACGATGGATTTCTTGGAAGCATTTTAAAACTGTGTTTATTCCCCAGCGGAAGTAACGCACTTCTAGTTCATCAGAACTAGAGTTTTCAAAAGTATTCATCATTATATATAAATAAACTATATATAAATAGTTCAGGTGGGTAGCTGCGTCAGCATGGGTAGGCTGCAATGGAACAAGTAATAGGTTTATTCCATGCTGAAAAGAGAAGAAAGAGAACACAACATTTCGGCTGTGGAGCCTTCTTCAGGCGTGAGAAGGCTCCACAGCCGAAACATTGTGTTTTCTTTCTTATCTTTTCAGCATGGAATAAACCTATTACTTGTTCCTATATATAAATAGAAATACAGAAATCTTTTAATTAAAAAGTGATATTTGTGGGCATCCCGCCCGATCCACAGATATTATATGTAAACTCATGGGGTTTGTATGGGTTCGTTAAACACTTGCACTTCTCTTGTTAAAGCTAGATTTTCAGAAATCAAGCCCTGTGTGCAATGCAGTCATTTTATATCAAGAGGTGCAAGAGGCAGAGTTCAAGCTTCATGCAGAATGCTGGGGGCAGCAAAGGCTTCCAAACTATAGCTGATTGTTCTGAAGACTATGACGTACAGACTGTTCCACGGCCAGATGAAACAGGGCATCTTCATCCACACGTGTGTTCTGAAAAAAGGATAATATGAGCATTAGCAGTACAGAAAGAGTGATGTGGTTTGCATGTGATTTCTGGATCGATATAAAAGAAGGGAAATTATACTTTTCAGCCAGGAACTCAGAGAACAAGTAAAGGTCTAACATTTTTTAACAGTTCTGTTTTCCCTCTACTAGCAATCAATAGGCAATATAGAATCTTGCCTTTTTTTTAGGAAAGAAGTCACTTTCTCTTGTTTATTCGTCAAAGCAGTGCAAATTATCCGTATGCTGTACAAAAATGACTTGTGGTAATTATTTTCCTTAGCTAATGGAAGAGGATATTTGTCATTCAGAAAGGCTGCATACAGACAGAAGTTTCTGAACTACGTTTATTTCGTATACGGTACTTTGACTTCCCCGGTTAAGCTTTAAAACGTCGATTTTAATTTTTGTAAAATGAGGCCTTACCGTGTAATTGTCATAGCTGAACCTGTGCCTCTGATTTAAGTGGCCAATGAAATTCGTGCTGTAGTAACTTGGATTTCCCCAGGAGGTGGCTGCGCAGATAGGACAGACCTGCAAGAACAAGGCGAGCCAATCATCTCTGTGTGAAACCGCAAGGAGCAGGCGCCGGGGGGCGATGACGTCACCGCTCCGCTACTCACCACCGGAGCGGGGTTTCCCACGTGATTGCCTCTGCAGTGCTGCACCAGGCTCATGTCAGACAAGCCCGGCTGCTGACAGTAAGGGCAGGAGTACGTCATGCTCATGCTAGGACACGAGAATACACAAGATTGCCAGGTTAGCACTGTGGTCCCTTCACTCTTCCAAATAAATGCATTTTGGGGGATTTCATATGAAAACTACAAGTACATAACTTTCAAGATTAAGGTCGTAAAATATATACGAACACCTGTATGTACCCATCATTATGAAAGATATGAGAGCCTGGCGTTATTTTTCGAAACGGTCTGAATAAAGAATAACATTTAAAGGTTATGGTCTAGCAGTTCTTGTAGCAGAATCAAAAATCTAGCTAGCATCTTATTGAGGAATCTGTGCCTCGTTATTGATTTATCTTCAACGTTCCCACCTTTCAGGCCCAAGAACGGGTCGATGGTCGTGCACCGCAGTCAGGTTCCTAGATGTCAATAAAAGTCGTATTCAGCAAAACTATTTTCATACAAAACGTTTCTCAAAATATTTAAAAGTCAACAAAATACTATAATGACTATAATGAGTTTGTATACAATATGGCTCATTTTATTGCTTTGCTGTGTAAAAGTCACTAACAGATGTCAGACTTTTTTATTTTTGTAAAGACTATTTTACTTTCATGACTAAAATGACGAGCCAGGGCAGTTAGTCTTCTGTCAAAGCAGAAATTCCCTCTAAGCGATCTTGCACACTGCGTGTCAACACAGGAACACCTGCCATAGACCTTTCTGAACAGCAGGGGTCACTGTTTCCACACGCTGAAAAATTCCCATGCCCGCAAGCTCCGGCAAAGATACATTTAGAAAACATATACAGTATAAAACAAGAAGACAGAAGTGATTTTTTTAAAGAAATGTTCACTTTTCCGACATTGTCTTAGATTTGGGCTCTCTGTAGTCCTTAATGACTGACCAACAAGTGGGCTGTGGACTGGACAGTAATAGTAGTTGAAATAGAATAGTCCTGATGTGTCAACATGGACATATGAACAGCCAAATACAGAATAGATGTAACTTCACAGCTAAAACTAAGCTAAATCTTTCAGCTGATGTACATGTTAATTCTTTTTTAGAGTCAAGAAAGATTTTGGAAGGTGCATCACATCTCTGAGCCAAGCACAGAGATTCACAATTCCTGTCTGCGGTACTGTATTTCCAGAGTAGCACAAAACTGTTCGATATGGGCTTACGATATTAGGAAATCTTCTTGCACTGCTTTGCCACAAAAGGCGAACTAGCAGATTTCCGCTGCATTTCTTAGCCTGTTGAGCAATGAGTGGAAGGGGGCTGCTTGGTGCCAGTTACCTGATGGTGGCTGTGCTCTGTGCTCCGCCAGACACTGTTCCCTGGGCTCGGGGCACAACAGGGTTCCCATACTCTTCTCTGTACTTCCTGCAGTACTTGTAATGCCTCCTCATTTGACTGAAAACACTCTGTGGAAGAACACTGCAGCTTTATCGCACAATCGGCCATCAACATGATCGCACACGCATTTCTGAAAGCAATCAGGAGAGAGAGGTTTTCTGCTTTCAGAATTGCTCAAGAACCTGGGGCAGGGGAACTTACAGGCACAAGGACAGAGAGTCCCCAATTTACCAGGCCAGCACCTGAAGAATCACTTTCGCTTTAAAAAACACTCAAAATCTAAAAGTCCGTTCCTCACTTGCCATCTGAGTTTCACTTTCATTTAAAACATTTTTGCACAATGTACTTTCCATCGTTGTTTTTTTTTTAATATAGGCATATCTTTTGAAAAGATCTGCAGTAATAAACTGCAGATCTGCAGTACTAAACTGTAGTATACCATGATGGTCAATCCATTGTGGAACAGCTGTTTGGGAACAGAAAAGTACCGGTAATTTTATACCCATCTAAAAGTTTCAGTTTGCGTTTGCAAACGGGTCAGTTAGAGTGTTTTTATTTTTTGTTTTCTATTTTTAATACAAAATTGCGAAAATTATTCTCTCCTTTGCGATGTCTCAAACTACAGTTTTATTCCTGGGGGGGAACGCATACTGCTGACCTGCAGTCAATTTCAGTGAGCACCCTTTCAGCAACAGGAAGTAAATAAACACAGTATTTACACAACTTCCGCAGGCTCTGCATCGCCCCCTCCTCGTCCTCATCCGGCGGGCCACGTCGGTGGCTCTCTTCTCGTCTTCTGACACGGGCCCTCGGCACATGGGGCAGTGCGGCCCGCAAGCCCTCACCGCCGCCACGAAGCAGTGCTTACAGAACCTGCAGGGAGAGATC